CAGAGGCTAGGATTCAACAACAGACTTAAAATGGACTTCAGTAGGTCTTATTAAAGGTGAACAGCTCTTAGAAACTGTCTCCTCATTTTCAGAAGAAAGACTTTATTTTATTCTTAGTAATGAGCTATTAAGTAGGTTTCTGAGTCTTTAATTTACTGTTATTTTTGTATTTCATTCATTCATCCAGCAAGAGCTAGCTGGGAATAGATTTTACTGACCCAGATATTTTCCTTTAGCACAGCAGCTTTATACACTTTAGTGTATAAAAGCCCATTCTAACAGGGCTCTAGTCAATGTCCTATTTAACAGCATGTGTGTGTGGTTTCTCAGTTCTCTGTGGTGATTTACCCACCAGAGTACCTGTGAATGGCAGCTAGCAAGATGTCAGATACATTAATGAGACATGAAACGAGATTAGTACATTGCAAACATACGTTTCTATCTGTTAAATAGTGGAAAGGAAGTCACCAAAGAAACACATCTCCTCTAAGACAGACAGATAGGTGGCATGAGACCTAGAATCATAGAATCATAGAATCTTAGGGGCTGGAAGGGACCTCGAGAGATCATCTAGTCCAACCCCCCTGCCAGAGCAGGGTCACCTAGAGTACATCACACAGGAACGCATCCAGGTGGGTTTTGAATGTCTCCAGTGAAGGAGACTCCACAACCTCCCTGGGCAGCCTGTTCCAGGGCTCTGTCACTCTTACAGTAAAAAATTTTTTTTGGATATTCACCTTGAACCTCCTATGCTCCAATTTACACCCATTACCCCTTGTCCTATCACTGGTCATCACTGAGAAAAGCCTAACTCCGTCCCCCTGACACTCACCCCTTACATATTTGTAAACATTGATGAGGTCACCCCTCAGTCTCCTTTTCTCCAAGCTAAAGAGACCCAGCTCCCTCAGCCTTTCCTCATAAGGGAGATGTTCCACTCCCCTAATCATCTTCGTAGCTCTGCGCTGGACTCTTTCGAGCAGTTCCCTGTCCTTTTTGAACTGAGGGGCCCAGAACTGGACACAATACTCCAGATGTGGCCTCACCAATGCAGAATAGAGGGGGAGGAGAACCTCTCTTGACCTACTAACCACACCCTTTCTAATGCACCCCAGGATGCCATTGGCCTTCTTGGCCACAAGGGCACATTGCTGGCTCATGGTCATCCTCCTGTCTACCAGGACCCCCAGGTCTCTTTCACCTACACTACTCTCCAGCAGTTCAGCCCCCAACCTGTACTGGGACATGGTGTTGTTCTAAGTCCCTCTGAATGGCAGCACAGCCTTCTGGTGTGTCAGCCACTCCTCCCAGCTTAGTGTCATCAGCAAACTTGCTGAGGGTACATTCTATACCCTCATCCAGGTCGTTGATGAAGATGTTGAACAACACCGGTCACAGTACTGACCCCTGTGGGACTCCACTAGTCACACACCTCCAACCAGATTCTGCCCCATTGACTACAACTCTCTGGCTCTCTGCTAGAGACATTGAATATTTTATATTATATTATATTATATTATATTATATTATATTATATTATATTATATTCATTATATTATATTTATTATATTATATTATACATACATTATTTATGTAAAGGCTGCATAAGTACTTTAGGATGTGTCTCTATTTCCTCATGCCTCACACAGCAAAAATCAAAGGATGCTGGAAAAACTATGAAGTATGTAAAAGTACAGAAGTAAATCCACATTTTAGGAAAAATTACTGTCTTCTTATAACTGTATTCATAAAATGCAGAAATAAAATTCATACTTTCTTTCTGGAAAGGTCCTAGCACAAGGCACTAGGATTTCATCCAGCAACAAATTGTGGTTTTCTGCCACTCTAAGTGTTTTCCTAAGGTTTTTTTTTTGGTTTTTTTTTTCATTTTTTATTCACATGTATATGTGACAGAAAAAACAAAGGAGGAGAATTTGGGGATGCATTTCCAATAGAAGTGAGAAATGGTGGAGGGAATGTGCAGCCCTCTTCCCTAATGAATCATTGAAGTACAACAGCAGCCTAACATAACATGAATAAGCAATTCAGGCCTGTTTGAGATACTCAAAGTTCTTCATGGGCAGCTAGTCTGGGACTAAAAACAGCATTGGTAAGCCTCCAGTCCCACTGCCTTGTCCCTGGGACTCAAGGAGAACAGAAGCTGCATCTATGTGGTTTGATGATACAAATGGTTCAGCACGCCAGCATGCTACAGTTTTAAACTGTTGCCCGATGGTCTAACGATGTCAATTCAGAGGTACTTAACTCTCGTCACTCCTTCCCCTTCTCCAGCACTGCTTGCGGCAACTTGAGATGCCCCATTTAATTGCTCAATCATCCCCGTTCGGATCTTTGGGTCCCTGCTCAGATCTTCATGTCCCTGTTCGGGCGCCATTTGTTGCGAAGGCGATCGGCGAGGAAAGTTTTGCTTTATCAATCATATTGATTGCTTGCATTCTTCCCTCGCCGATCGCCTCCACAACATTAAACCTCATCTTCCAAAATATATTCTGCAGAGCCATGAGTGCTGAAATCATAGAATCATAGACTGCCAAGTTGGAAGGGTCCTTAAGGATCTTCTGGTCCAACTTTTCTAAATAAAACTATAGTTTATATGAGATGGCTCAGCACCGTGCCAAGCTGACACTTTAAACTGTCCAGTGTGGGAGAATCTGCCACTTCCCTTGGGAGACTCTTCCAATGTTTGATTGTCCTTATAGTGAAAATTTTACTTCTTGTGTCCAATCGGAATCTCCCCAGGAGCAACTTGTGCCCATTATCCCTCGTCTTTCCCAGGTGACTCCTTGTAAATAGGGAGGCTGCACCTTCTTGGTAGCCACCCTTTAAATACTGGAACATGGTAATAAGGTCTCCCTGAAGCCTTCTTTTCTCAAGGCTGAACAAACCCAGCTTTCTCAGCCTCAGCGAAGATACAAGGTCAACAAGACTTACCTGAAGAACACCACAGGTCAGGACTAAGATTTTTATTGATCAAGATAAAGGTTGTATCAACAGTGTGACAAAACTGGCGTCTCACCTAGTAACAGTGCAATCCTATTTTAGATCCTTCACTTTGTGAATGAACAAAAATATTGGTCAGGTTTCAGGGCAATAGTGGAAAGAAGAAGCCATCAGTCTTCTCAAAACTATGGGAAACCATGACAGGGAAAAGACCTGCCTATGAAGTCCAGACTGATAAAAATCTGTATCACCAGTTTGGGAGGCAAGAGTTCAAAGAATGACTACCTATGAAAAAATTCTCAAAAACCTGCATGAGGAAGAGTAGTAAAGTGCTGAAGGTTGTCCAAAATCCTCTTCAAGACCTGTGGCAGGAAACAAAGCAGCTGTGGATAGTTACAGTTAATCTTAACCAAAAGAAGAGGCTGAACATGGTGCATTCAGAACAGGCAAAAGTGCACAGTGTCAGCTGAGTCTTTGAGCTTCTAAGCTTGCAGCATTTTGAAATTTAGTATCATGATATTTTGCCTTCATTCTATCTAAAGTTCTAGTTCAGTCTTGGGCCAAACCTCAAAAAAACCTCAAAAATTATGACAATTCTGGTATGAGTCTGAGCACTGCTTCTATTTCCATCTTTTTTTCCCAATTATTTATCTTCTTTTTCTTTATATTACTACTTAAATTACACTAGACCTCTTGAAAAATTATAAAGTGACAGTTACTGTGGGATTACAGCCTTTGTCTTCTAATGTAGCTAAATCATATAGTTTCATTTTATTTTCTAATAGAGCAGTAACTTGGTCTGCTGAAGTGGGTTTATTTTTCTGAGGCATGCAAGGAAGATGTATGATAGAGAAGTTGGAAATTCAGGATTACATGTGGTCCAACACAGAAAAAGTGCTTCCCTTAGTTTTCCTGTGGTAATTAGCTGTTCAGTGCTTGCAATCTATATGATGCATTTTTTATCAAGCTGAGCATTCACTGAGCATGTGTTTAGTTTGAGATTTACTTTGTTCTTCCACTGAACTCCTGTTGTTTAGTATTTTCAATCCCTGATGTGCAGACCTTGGGCCTTAAAGGAGAAGGGCATTTTACTATGTGGTGGTGCCTCCAGGTGCAGTGTTTGCTGATCTGCTTGCCAGGCTGTCATGCTTCCCTGCAGTGCTACCAAGGTGCTGTACTATTGTCACTGATGTCAAAGTGTCTTACCTTCCCTTGAACCTCCTGGAGCCCTAGGGTCAAGTGAAGGTAGAATAGGTGCTACAGAAGAGCTAAAATGGATTTCTTGGGATATAGTCTGTAGGGCTATTTCAGCTGGCTAACGGAAGCTTGTCACCAAAGTGTTGTCTTAGCCTCGATATGCTGTTGAATATGAACGTAAAATATGTTTACACAATTCCTATTTAAAGGTACCACGTCATTAAGAAAAAAGAAAAATCAGGCAGTCTGTTCTGGAGAATGGGAAAAGAAAAACAGGTAATGGGTATTCAGATCAAAATGGTGATGCAGGTTTCATTAGTAAAGGACAGGCACTATTAAAGAGCTGCAGTCTCAGTTGCTTCACAAGAAGCAGAGGCCCAAGAGCAGCTATTGCCATGACAACAAACAGAGCCAGGGCATTTACACTCCTATATGTTTCAGTGCAGTCTTAACCAAGAATGAAACTGTCTTGAAAGAACAGTTACATTATATTCACGCTTATTCTTTACTAATTGTGTATCTCACCTTAGTGCCTCAAATCTTATATTTTATAGTGGTAGGTCACTGACCATACCTGGCTAATGATGTTTCTGGACCTGTTAGAAGCCTGGTTCTTAGATTATGTTTCTAACTTCCTGCTATATAAAATAATGAGGTCGACTTGGTGCTAATTTGGATTGAAAATATCAGTTCAATGCTGTATGCCATACATTAGGTCCATGACCTAAAATGCACCTAATTCTTCCTGCTAGTGTATTTGGAACACTAAATCTAATGTTACTATAATAATACAAGAAATATTACTCTGGTTTCAATAAAGTTATTGTCTTTTAACATTGCAGATCACAGTATTTCGCATGGGATCAGAAGGACACCAGGATATTGATTTAGCTATCCTGACAGCATTACTAAAAGGTAATGGTGTTTCACTTCATGGTGAGTCTGTATCAATCCAAATTAACTGTGTCTGTTATGCTGAAACCTGCATTTATTTACAATATCTAGTGCATGGAGGGCAGAAATCTATACTGTGAAACTGAAGTATACTTCTTGCTCTAACTGCTGTATACAAATCCAGCTCTTTCTTTAATGCCTAAAATAGGTAGTTTTTCCTTTCCGAGTGTGTCACGAGAAACACCAGTGGTGACTCCCAAGCAGGTACTTGTGAAGATTAGAACTCATCAGAAGACAGTCGAAGACTTGTCAGACATAGGCTGTGTTGGTGGCTAGTAAGAGCCTCCAGAAGGAGGTTATCTCCCTTTAGATAAAACGGGCACTATTGTCAAAGCAAAAAGTAAAGTAAAATAAAATACTAATGCTACTACTAATAATAATAATACATATATGTGTATTTGCTTGGTATTCAAAAGGTAATGGGAATTACTTGTTTCAGCGATCAGTTTTCTTCTCAGTGTCCTCCTGTGCTGGCTTACAAAAGCTGTATGAAAAGAAAAGGGAGGACATCTGAGTAACTTTCACCTAAGCAAGCAGAACCTATTACACAATTCTTAATCCCATTTCAGAACTGTTATTTCAAACATTTAAAACAAAAATCTGAAGAAGAGGAGCAAACAAACACAGGCCACTTAAAAAATGTGATTGCAAGCTAGTTACTACCAGCCAAGGAAATGAGCTGGAATTATTATGCTCTAGTAGCTTTTGGTTTTTTTACGTTTCTGCAGCATTACTTTCTCCACTTCTTTTGTTCATTTCACTCAAGATACCAGTAGTTTGTCTTGCAGGTGACATGACAATTTTAGCCATCTGCATAATTATATCTCAAGGCACTTAAGACGTCATGACACAGAAACAATGTGAATCAAGGAGAAGAAAAGAAAAATAAATTCATGCAAAGCAAAGGTTAAGAATTATATCTGTTACCAAATTCCTCTTTTCTATTCTAAGGAAATATTTTAATTGCAGATTTCATTTTTTATCTTAAGTATAACTGGATCCTTCATTATCCTCAGGGTTAGGTGTATTCTCTTCACATTTGTTCTTAAGACAACCAATGAAACTACTGCTCTTGGTTTCTATTAGTAAGATACAGGTTGTCTTAAACATGTGATTCCACTTTTTGTAGGTGTATTTCCAAGGTCTGAATCCCAACATAGATCCCTGGAGTTTTATCAGCTTGAACTCTGCCTGTTGGAAGAAGAAGAAAATAACTCATAGGCATTGGAATGATTGTTTTCTGTTTGAAAAGTTCCTTTGCAGTATTTACATGAGCAACTGCACTATGATTGCAGTCTGGGAACATGATTTGTCTTCTCTGGTCTGGAAACATACATTTTGCAAGTGTCTAATCAGTCCTATCATCTCCTTAGTAAAATAAAATTACCTTTCCTCTTCATAATAGTAGCGAAAGACATTATAGGAAACTTCCATTTTCACGTCTTCTCATGCTTGTCTGACAATCTTGATTTGGTAATCTGTTGATGGCAGCAGCATGTGTGTCTTGCTCAAGAGCCAGAGGAACTAAAACTTATACTTCATCTTTCCTGCTCCTCAGCACTTTCTGATTATGAGGATACTCAAGATTAGATTTATCAGATGCATCTTGTTAATCTGAATGTTCTGATCACAAGAAATGTAAGTTAATGTAATATTTTAATCAGTGTGTGCAAATATGAGATCTCTTGTCTCAGGCTAGTCAGCTGTCCTTATCACACTGTGTACAAAGGTCCAGGTACACCCTGAAAGAAATGAAAGAATCTTTCAGAAAAGGCTTTTCTGTAAATGTACCCCACCAGGCTGATGGATAGCTCAAGAATTCGAAGGTAGCAATGCTGATCCCCTTGTCTGTTGATTTACTGGTAAGCAGATAAGACTGGAACTGAGTATCTTGAAATTCATGTTTAAATTCAGGATTTAATCTCTTTCACCTCTTCAGCACTGTGTGCAAGGGCTCAGATAAAAGTATGAAACTGGTGAGTGATTATTGATTACTTTTTATCAGACTCACTGATGTGGATTTTGCAGTTCTTGCTAGCCAGTTAGAAGTGCTCACCAGCTACTTGCCCAACCTGCTCTGGTGTGAGTGATTTGTTCAGGGAGTAGGAGGAGGACAAGTGCTGGGAAACACAAAGAATTATTTCCTGCTTGCTGTGTAAAATTTGCATGAGTTAGTCTCTTTTCAAACTACATCAGGCACACTGCCAGAGCAGGAACTCTCCCAAATAGGATATTCCACAAGCCCCAAACCCTGCACAGAATATGAGAGATTACTTCCTTGTTTGTTTTCATGAGTCACTTGTTTAATCTTGTCAGCAGATCTATCTTTCTTGGAAGTGATCTCAAATAAACTAGAGAGTGGCATCCAAACTGATTATCAATTTACATTTCATGGATGTCACAACAGCATATGGCTTGTGAATTCCTTTAATCTATTTAATTTAAAGAAACATGCAAGTATGGGAAGTAAATTGCCAATTGCATGAATTTGTAGCAAATAATTCACTGATACAGTTTAACTGTTTGTGCTCTCTTAACGTGAACAGTTGGAACTCAAACAGTAGTGGATTTTGTGCTTTTGCAGCTTCTAATAGAGCAGAAGGCATATGACAGCAAAGTTAAAGACAGCATATGAAGGTGTTCTAAAATATAATTATTTTGAGTGGTGTCAAAGATCCTAGTTCACAAAGCTGTTGCAATGTCTGGAGCATACTAGCAGCACCAGCCATGTTTCAGCTGGTGCCCCACGAACCCTCCCAGTGCAATTGTTAGCATTGGGAAAGATGTGCTGTGTGCTATCTGCATTCTGAAATACAACTGCCATGTAATGGTCTTGAGATAAACTCTGTTAGGCTAAGGCAGATGTGATGTCTCTGCATACTTTCCAGCCTGTGAATAAGTCATGACTCATACTTACTGAACAGCCATCATGTACTATCAGATAGTCCTGGAAGACAGTGTGATGTTCTGCCAACTATGAAATCACTGACAGGGAAAGATTTCAGAGTTAGCCCAGATATCTGGTTATGGCCCTTTTAGTCGTTGTTATCGGCTTAGTTATTGTCAATTGGTTCTGTTAATGCCAAGATGATGCTTGTAGCAAATGCAATGGAAATGCAGCTTTTTCAACAGAGCTGCTGAAGCAGGAGACAATTTGAGACCTGCTGAGATGCACAGCAGAAAGTTAATTTGGATTACTATTTTCCCTAATCTAAATCTTCAAGTTATGATTCAAAGAGGATACTGACATGCTTAGAAGCACTGTGGAAATGATTCTCCAACAATCATTTCTGTCTAGATAGAGAAGTTTTGTGTCTTTACAGGTTTCCAGATTCCTGAGCACTAAGTGCTATAGACTGTCCAAGGAGAGTCCTTTAGATTTACACTGATCACAGTAAACTTTAGCCAGCATATGAAAGCCAGTAGCCTTCCATAATCTGGGACCATGCAAGGGCACAATGCTCTTTGTCTGACATGTACCCTGGCTCATCTAGGCTATACAGTCAGGTTTATGGTCCCAGGCATTATATTCAAGAAGTATGGCAGTTCTTGATGCAATACCAAGACCACCTGGCTTTTTACCAGAAGAATATATGCAAGATATCTAAGCCCTTCTGGATGGTTGCTTAAGAGTATAAAGTTAACAGCTGCAGGAACTAACAGTTGTACCAGATCTCCTTGTTCATTCAACTTTGCATGATGCTTGTGTTGTCTGTCTATATCCAGAAATACCTAGCCTGCCAAAATACTGCCAAACCAATGCGTTGCACCCCAAATGCAACTTTTCTTCTAGAAGCAGCTGACAGAAAGGAAGAGTCTCACATTAGTCATATTGTCTTAAAACATATCTTATGCTCAGCCAGACACCAGGATACTGAGTAAATGTTACATAGAAACTAGTCACAGTGCCTAAAGCACTATTTAAAGCAGTAATTATGCTATGGTAGTTAAAATAATACAACACAACTGAGCAGATAGTCTTTGCATGAAACAGGATGAAACAGAAATGTGGGGAGAGGAAATGCTAATTTGTATCACTGACAATATTAAGGGTCTAAAAAGTGGTTCCAGTATGATCAGAGAATCAGAGAATCTTAGGATGTGTGAGATTAGAAGGGACCTTTCAAGATCATCTACTCCAGTCCCCCAGCAATGTGCGGGGACCTTTTTAACTAGATCAGGTTGCTCAGAGCCTTGTCAAGCCTGACCTTGAATGTTTCCAGGGATGGGGCCTCCAGCACCTCTCTGGGCAACCTGTTCATTGTTTCACCACCTTGATTGTAAAGAAATTCTTCCTAATGTCTGATCTAAATCCAACCTGCTCTAGTTTAAGAACATTGCCCCTTATCCTATCACTACACATCATTGTAAAAAGTCCCTCCCCAGCTTTCCTGTAGTACCCTTCAGGTACTGGAAGGTGCTCTAAGATCTCCCTGGAGCCTTATTCTCTCCAGGCTGAACTATTCCAACTCTCTCAGCCTGTCTTCCTAGCAGAGATGCTCCAGCCCTCTGATGATTTTTGTGGCCCCTCTCTGGACTCTCTCCAACAGGTGCATGTCCTTGTGTTGAGGGCTCCAGAACCAGACACAGCTCTCCAGGTGGCGTCTCACAAGAGCAGAGTAGAGGGGCAGAATCACCTCCCTTGACCTGCTGGCCATGCTTCTTTTGATGCAGCTCAGGATATGATTTGTCCTCTGGGCTATGACTCCACATTGTTTGCTCATATTCAACTTTTCATCCACTAGGACCCCCAAGTCCCTTTCCACAGGGCTGCTCTCTATCACATCATCCCCCAGCCTGTGTTGATAATGCGGGTTGCTCCCACCCTGATGCAGGGCCTTGCACTTGGTGATCCCTGTGTTGAGTTGATGAGAACAGTAGTTATTAACGCTACCTTACCTTTTGATTTCCCAAATATCCTTTGGTTTAGATTTGGGTACATTGCAGTGAGCAAGATGAGTCCTAAAAGGGTCACTTTTTGGATTATTCTTGCTGGCTCAAGTCCATGCTCTGTGGCACTGAATGCAATCAAAAAATGCTTGGAAAGAGACAGTATCTTAAGAAAGGCCACTTCAGATTTGTTCCAAAGGAGTTTTTCTTACATTAGCAAAATTATTTTTATTTCTTCATACTGGATAGATTTCCACCTGAAATAGCATGAATAATTCCTTTTTCATTTGAGTCAAAAGTCATCAGTCTAGCCTGGAATAAAATAAATTAAATGACATCCACAGCTGCTTCGTACAAAATTTTACAGCTTTTACTTTCCTTCTCCTTTTATATAAAGCCAGTGTAATTCACATTCACCTGAGAACCATGTGGGGATGACAGAAAAGAGGAGAAGGCTGCAAGGGCTTTCAAGTAATAAACCTAATTCTGGGAGCAGTCATCCTACCATGTGCAACAGAGCCCCAGCATACAAACCTGTACTGCCCAGTCTACACCCTAGCTGATGGAGTAGGACCTTAATTACAGGAATCTTTTGAGAAACCATGCATTTACTTCAACTCAAATGTTTGCAACTCTCTGTGAGACAGTGAAATGAGGAAGCACTGAGCATAATTTCTGGGACTGCACCTGTACCCACAGGAAAACTTATCCACTGGTGGCAGCCTTAAACACCATGGAAGGAGTTGGGAGGGACAGAGGCTGAGCCATGGCTTGCTTTCCCCACTGCTCAGTAACTGAAACAATAAGTATGCTCCAAAAAAACCCCAACAATTCTGATGAGCTGTCCCTGGGTTTTGGAGTTCACCCAAAAACAGCCTCTTCTGCTGCTCACCAGACAGCTTGCCTGAGCACCTGCTGAAGCGCTTGCTTCTCCTGCAGGCACATGCATGGGAATGAGGAGATCCAATGACATTTTGAGAGATTCTGTTGTTTGCTTCAGAAAGGGGAAAACACTATTTGTTCTCTGTACTTAATTTACATTATCACACCAACTGTAGGTAGTTTCTTTTCTGTTTTTATAAATAAAACTGCTGAGACATTTTTGCCCTTCATAAAGGTCAGTATTTTCTGTTCTTGAATGTTGCCTGTTGCTTGTGTGAGAAATTCAAAGATTCAGATGTTGCTGGCATCCCCCATGAGGTTTTTTTGTGAGGGTTTTTGTCTGTGTTTTAGTATATAACAATGAAAGATGCATTTTACACAAAGGGCTGTTTCTGTTACTTCTTAGTCACAGAAAAGTCTAATGTTTTCATTCTTCTCTTCATGTTTTTCTATCGTTCTGCTCCTTCATCACCTACCTTCTAATCAGAGCTCATTTCTATAATAAAATGAAAGTGATCTGGAGGTCCCGGATAATTACTGTATACATTGCCAAGTATTTAGCCAAGCTTATGGCAGTGAACTGACTGCAAAGTTGAGAGTTGTGAAATTATACCATGGGCTAAGCCCCCTGAAGTTCTGCTGAACTGATCCTTCACAGAGAATTTCAGCAGCCAGTGTGTTACACGTTACATTCTCTGTGCCTCCAATTTCAGAGTGCACTTTCAGCTGAAACAAGTGTATAATTTTGAATAATACTGAAATGGGGACAGAGATGCTTTGAGGGAATGAGAAGCTCCTGTTTGTCCTCACTCCACCAGTATAAGAATTAAGAAAGACAAGAATACAGTGAAAGTGTCGGGCCTTTAAAAAATGGGCCTTTATACAATCACCTAATCACTGCAAGCAGTTATGCAGTTGATCAGTTCATTCTGGCCAGTTCTTGTGACACAAGAGCACAAACACTGTTTTGTTATTACAAATCAGCTAGTAACTGTAAAATCCTCAGTGAAACGTTTAAAAAGCACAACAGGGCAGGAATGTCCCCCCGTGTCCATTAAAACTACAGGGAAAAATATATCCTGCCTTCCAAAAAACAGACAGCTCCAAACTCATCTTATTTAATTTGGATATAATAAAACATGACACCAGCTTTATAGCATGCTTTCTTACATGAATATTGCATATAGGAAGGAAAATTTGTCCCACTAAGACCCCTCAATTGAAACAGATAGCGGAGAAATACTTATGCTTGTACAGGATCCCCACCTTATCAGGTGGGAATGCATAAATTGCATGACTGTTAAGATCAGTGAGTTCTCTGTGAGCTGAATCTGCTGACAACTGCTAGAGGCACATGTGTGTGTATGTGTGCGCTGGTGTGCATCTCATTCAGCATCCCTCCTGGCTCCTGCTCTTGCCTCCTGTCCCAGAGGAGGAAAACTCATTCATTCCCCTGCAAGTTGCGTCTATTGATATCATGTGTATGCACTGTATATTTCAAGGGGAATTTGAGAAAATAAGTGATGTTTATGAGACAGTCTGAGAGCCATAGTTTCAGACTGGAGAACCCGTATCTCATTACAGTGATAATGAAAGGTTTGGTTTTGTTTAATATGAAATCAGTTGCAGAAATTACATGTGAGAATTTTTTTTGACAAAGTGGAATTGCCATAGGGATCTGTTGAATGAATCTAAAATTTGTCTTGTTTCTTTTTTTTCTCCTCCCTGCACCCCTGTCTGTGCATACAGGAGCTAACGCGTCGGCTCCCGACCAGCTGAGCCTGGCACTAGCCTGGAACAGAGTCGACATCGCCCGCAGCCAGATCTTTATTTATGGGCAGCAGTGGCCGGTACAGTATAACACGGCATCTTCTACTGAGAACTCTTTAAACCCTACACATTAACCCATTCTGTTGGTGGAGGTGATTTTAACACAGTTTAAAATATACTGAGTCATGCTGCCAGCCAAACACAGAGTTCCCATGTCAGCTACTGAAGGCGGACACTGTTACAAAGATGTTATTGTGTTCCTTATTCAAGGCAATAGTGACATCTAGCGATGCCAAAACACTGAGAGACCACACCTTCAAAGCAACGAGGAAACTGCTCTTTTTTACTGTCAAGTAGAGAGATACTGCAATCTGAGAAATGCAAGCATCTATTTACAGCCTTATTACAATGTTAGAATATAAATTAAAGGAAAGGCAAAACTTTGTGCTCTTCAAGCCACATGCTTTTATAAAAAAAACAATGAATTTGACAATTATTTTATGACAAAAATTTGCTGCACAAATTTTGGGGGTCATCAAGTGGACCAAGAGAGCTGAGGAGCAATGCTACTGCAGAACTGCTAGAAGTCCTGAGGTTTCAAGCCTGAGATGGTGTTGATTTCTTGCCCGGTGCTCTGCTGCATCAAGCTGACTGCTTCATGTCAGCCTCATCATATGCCCAAGCTGCCAGCTGTGGAGACACGGTGGGCAGAGCTTCCCTGTAGGAGAGAGAGGGTTATGAATAGGGGATAAGTGCACACTGTGTGGGGTAAAGGAAGAGTAGTCAACTCCCAATTTGTGCTGCATTTCTTGTGCTAGTAGAAGTCCCCAGGTAAAAAACAGAAGGACCCTGCCTTTAACTGTATCTCCTTAAACCCCACCATATCTTCATTTGGAATGCTTAATTGGATCACAATATTAACTATTGTGATGTTTGTTTTGCTACCATCATGAAAATGTTATACATTGTCGTTACATGAGCATTTACAACTTGCAACTAAAGGAATAGCTTCTGTTTAAATATCTGGCTTTAAATGTAGTTTCTTGGGCTTGCAGGCCTTTAAAGTAGTTTCAAAAATCTTTGTCTTTTCACTTATGGATTGAACAGAACTATTTATCTTGTCTTCAGTAATGCGCACAACCATGCTTCAAAAATGTAGGAGGGATTGTAATGGGACAAAACTGTCCTTATAATTATCACTCCATCACCACACCATAGTAAAAAATTTGTATAAATGCTGAAAGCTGCAGTCATTTTGCAAGATAAAAGCTGACAGTATGAGATGATTTCTAATCCTTCTATTTCTCCACAAACCTGCAAGAGAGAGAAAAGAAGAAGTTTTGCATAAGAAGACCTCTTGCATTTGGCCTTTCAAAAAAATGCTAATTGTGAAGATATTTCTGCCTCTCCGGTGTCAGAGTTTCCCTGAGTGACCACATCACAAACAGGAAAAAGCTAGTAAAGACCAAATTAAGTGAGACTGTATGCACATAACAAATATACCCAATACAAATTAAATGCTTGTCAGGAAAGCAAGAAATAATGAGATGGTGAATAGTGCAGCAGTGTGGTGACCATTCTCCTGGATCCTAATCTGGATTTCCTGGAGTATCTTAGTGTTAACACTCTGACACTTATTTTAGAAATGCTTCCCTGTATCAGATTAACCAATACAGACTAAAACTGTGAATATTCCATTCACTTCATGCTTAGCAGAGCAATCCTCAGAATTTTGTCAGAATTTTGCCAGACTTGTGCCAGGGTAACCAGACAGCCTGCACTGCCCAAGAACAGCCTGAATTAATTGCTTGCTTTGCAGGTAGGCTCCCTTGAGCAAGCAATGCTGGATGCACTGGTGTTGGACAGAGTGGATTTTGTGAAATTGCTCATAGAAAATGGAGTAAGCATGCACCGTTTTCTCACCATCTCCCGGCTAGAAGAATTGTACAATACGGTAGGGCCAACCTAAGGCAATTTTTTGGTCTCTGTATTCATTGTTATAGCTTCCTATACAATATGATATTGTAATACCATATTACAATGATGCGATGATGCACAAGGCAGCCAACAGCTGCTGCAGAAATTTTCCATGTCAGGAGTCCACATTGTCTCTTAGCTTTGTGTCTCATATAATGGAACATGCTATGTCTTGCCCACCTAATCTGCTGTACAGATTTTTTGTAAAACAGGGATTAAGCCCCACACAACATCATCTGATTTCTGGTCATTGTAATTCCAAAACGATAGACCTGAGATTCAAGTGGATGACACTGGCTAAAAGACAGTAACAGGCAAGGTAGGACCTGTAGGATGGTGATAGGTGGCTCCTGATAGTATAAGTCCTTGTGTTTTCAGAAAATTCTTGCAACTGTTGATCAAAATCAGCCACTAAAAAACAAATAGAATCAAACTTCTTGGAATAATATTCTGAATTTAGACATGAAACCTGAATATTTCAGGAGGTCTGTTACAGTGAAGGACTTCCCCATGTCCTCACTAAATGTTCCAAATGCGAGTTTTGAATTTTAAAGGCTTGTTTGCAAGTTTTATAATTTTGCCTGTAAAATTAACATCAAACCATACAGGTTCCAACAGGTTTCTGAGTTATCAACTACAAAACACATTCTAGCATTCACATCATTATTGTTCAGAGATGAAAGAACCAGTAAGTTCAAATTATTTAACTAATCTAAAAGTATTATCTAGTTTTTAGGATTGCTAGTGCTGTCTGTTGGAGAGAGGTTGTGATATAGTGTATAACCTTTTTCAAAAGGTTTTCTTCTGCCAGTTCTTTTCAAAGCCCTGCCATCATAAGCTGGCACACTGGTCTATTATCCCAGTTTCATGTGTTTCATACTGATGGTGACCAGAAGTCAGTCTTTCAAAAATATCAAATATGAAAAGAATTGACTAAATTTCTGCAAAATATACAGGAATAGGTATCCATGGCATCTTTGAGACAGATTCCTATCTGATCTTTGATCAGCTTAAGCTTTGCCGATCAACTAGCATCTATGTATTAAGAACAGAAAGCCTGTGAGCTTTCTTTCTTCAGAGATAAAGAATTGTAGTTCTTGTACCAAAGCCAGTTTTTACAGAGTGTGACTTTGAGAAAAGTCTTCAGTTCTACAGCTAAAAGAAGGCCTTTTGAACAAATTTATTGTTAGCTATAGAAATCACCATAAATTATTCATGCAAGAGTTCCAGAAATTCCCAGGCTGGGAAATGCCTGAACTACCTATTATGATATACAATCTAATGCATCCATAATAGTCTTACCATCAAAAAAATTAAAAGGCAAATTAAAAAATACTAGATTTCAACATGAGGCCTAAGAATTATAAGGGAACCTACAAACCAGTGAATATGACTTCTTTCATGGAAATTTTGTAAAAAATGTAATAAAGAACAGAATCAATAGACAAGAAGGTCCATTTTATGTCAAGAGAGAGTTTACCCAGCTTCTGTAAGAAAATGCTAAGCCTTAGAAATTTACTACCATTCCTGATGTCAACATGCAGGAGAGTAAGGATGTTGCACTTAGTCCCCCTGTTTTTGCAAAACCTGTTGGACAATATTTGGAAACATCAAAGGTTATTGAAGAAATTTAGCTGTCATAACATAGAAGATAAGCTGCACTTGTGGTTTAAAAACGACTTGAAGGATAGAAAATATAGAGTAGGAATGTATAGCCTGTTCTCACCAGAAAAGAATGTTATGACCAGGGTCATCCAAGACCATGTCCTGGGACCACTGCTGTTCAGCCTGTTTAGAGATCATCTGAAAAATACTAACTACTAAAGGGACAGTGTTTGCAGGTGTTTTAACATCATTCTGAGTATGTGAATCTGAAGTAGCACATGAAGAATTGCAGGAGGCTAATCATGCTCAGTGATGGGGTTACATAAAATTATGTGTTGGTAACTGCAGAGCAGTGTACATATGGAAACACCGACTCTGCATGTATGCGGTGGTCTCATCTGTCATCAGTTACAGCCAAGGAGACCTCCCACAGAAGTTTCTAAAAATATCAGCAAGTCAAAAATACAACATAAAGGAAAGTACTTTTCCATACAACATATGATTTTGGGAAATATAAAAATGTTGTGCATATCAGATGAAATCAAAAGAAGATTGGACAAATTCACAGACTGTGCGTGCTGCTAGTGGCTTTCAGACTGGATGCAATGGCACACTCAGGGGCTCTCTGAGCCACCCACAGTGGAAGTGGAGAACTGAGTGCAGGAAGGCTGAAGTGTAAGCAGCCGATTTTCCTTCCCTTCTCTCCCAGAGGCTGTGCATGTTGTGCTAGCTCCTATTTTGCCTAAACCAGGGGCCTAATCCAGTATATAGGGCCTTAGTTGTCACCCAGTATGCAGTTCTTGCTGTTTTCTTATGGAAGGGTTTTGTACTAAAGAGGTCAGGTGAAATAATGTTCTTGTAATTGAATTTCTTTTTTTTTTAAATTGACAACACTGTACAATTGAAGTGCTCTCATTTGCCCAATTTTTAAACTACTAAGGTGAGAAAGCCTTTCCAGCATTTACATCTTGTAGGTTTCTGGACAATACAAAAATATTTTATTTTTCTTCATTTGTCCTTTGCAGAGACATGGACCATCCAATACTCTGTATCATCTAGTCAGGGATGTCAAAAAGGTAAGAGTCCAATAGACGGTAGGTTGGAGATAATGCTGTGATTGCTTTTTTTTTTGTAGCTAGATACAATTTCTGTTTTGCATGAGCTTTTAGTCAGAGCCTTCTCCCTCCCCTGCCATTACAGAATGTCCTGTTTGTATGTAATAAATATGAACTTTTTGCATTCAAAGCACAATTAGCAAGTTATTTGGCTTGCTTTCTCTGTCGTTTTAGATGCTTCAATAATAGTGCTTCTGCTAGCATAATTGTAGGCTCTTTCATACCGTGTGGATTTATGCTGTTATCTCTATTTTTCCATACCTGCAACTGTTGTCAAATCTAATTTTCGTGTTGTTAGTTTACTCCCAAGCCTATAAAACATCCCATATACTTGTGCTGGATCCTAGTTTGTTGAAACAATTCCATGTTCTTTGTTGTATGGTACATTGTAGCCGTCTTCCTCAGCAAAAATATACAAAAAGAAGTAGTGCAACTTTCTCCTGCTCCTTTATCAAGTTAATTTCATGCATCTTGAATTATAGAGAACCATTAAGAGAGCAGGACAGAAACACAGAAAGGTGTAATGACAGGAAGGGGATACCAAATGCCTTCAGCAATGTGTCCAGGATTAAGTGTGTTACAGTAGCAGCAGCAAATGAAAAACCCTAAGCCTCCAAATATATGATTCAAGTAAGGAGATAGAGCCTATAACTGACCTCATCAGCTTGAACATTCTCCCAAAGCATGTGCAGCTTAAAACCTTGCACATTGTGTAAACTGGACCTCAAGGGTAGCACACTTGAGAAAGGACACTTCCATACATGGGACTAGAGAGAAGAGTGAAAAAGGAATGGAGATTTTTTATTTTTTTTTATTTATTTTTTTTTTTTGTAAAAGCACAGGTTTTTGTGGTTTCCTCTGTCACTAAGAGCTGAGCAGAACTGAAGGCAACTAGAGGAGGAGAGTGGCAATGCTTCATATGTCCTCTTTCTGTTAAATAATGCTACAGAATAATCATTAGCTATGTTTAGAGAGCTTCTGGTCATTTTCTGTGGTTAGTGTGTTACATGGCATCACCGTTGTTCAACGATATGTACTGTATTAAGCAACCATCAGAAAGTATGAAATGGCTTTAGAAGAAATTGAAATGGTTCTTATGTACAAATCCCCTGGGATGAAGCAGAACAGAACATTTAAGCAGGCTACTTCTCTTGAAGCTCAAGTTACCAGTATATTTTTTATTAAATATGTGGTTATTTATGTACCTATAAAAGGCTGAAACTAGCAACATTTGTCATCTTACTTTAGAATATATTTGTCTTCATAATCCTTCTCTCCCATCAGTCTTCCAAGTTGTTTTTTGAAGGCATAGCAATTTGCATGTTGAATGACTAAATAATACCAGTATCATTTTCTGAGTCCCTAAGAAAGGACGTATTTTTAAAGGAGCTCTTGAAAAAAAGTCAATAAAATAGACAATCAGTACTCATAGGTTTATATTGGTAGGCGTTCATAGGCATCCAATGAACTTCCACTTTATTTAATGATAGTGATTTCTAAGTGATGATCATTTTTCCATAAATTCATCTTTCTTTCTACTGTCCATATCTTCAGTCTCCAGTAATTCCCACTACGTTAAGTCAACCTGTACTGTTATTAGAATACAGTTAAGGGTTTTAAAAACAGACTGGTGCACACCTTTAGCACCTTCATGGGAAAACAGCACCTCTGGGGCTGTTTCTCTCATTTTGTTGGTGATGAAGAACAACCACAGATCACTTGGAGAAAAGTGACAGCTTGCGATAGTAGATCCTTTCCCAGTCATGCAAACTGTACATCAGACAGCAGATCTGACTACCATTCAAATGACTTCTTAATGGACATTACTATTTGACAGTTAAGTGTCCCATCATGCACGAAAAACAGATCACACTAGGTGATGCTAGGTTTTTTGAGTTTATGTGTATTTTGATGCTAGATACCTAGCCTCTCAGATTTAATTACAGTATTGAAAAATATAAATACAGAAAATGTAGTATGTCCCCTTGAGACAACACTTAAAAGATATGCATAATGAACACTTTGCTTACAAATCACAAAAGCATGTATTGTGTTACACAGCTGTAGAAATGAGTAGGTTCTTTTGTGTGAAAGACCACCCTGACTGCTTAATAAAGCTAAGAATTTGAACAATAGATATGACATTATCACAGTCTTGTTTGTGGCAGCTTACAGACACACGTGAGCATGTGCACGCATGCACAAACATACAAGACAACAATTATTTTCTCTTTGGATTTCCAGACTGTTGCCCTGGACAGCAAATTGTGAAGGCCTGGAGACAGTGTTGAGGAATTTAAGATAACCAGAGCACGCCTGAATTTTGTGTATATTAACAAGACAAAGTACTTCTTAATGATGCTACTTTAGAGACAGCTGTGCTCATCTCTTTTTTAGTCCTCTCAATCCTATAACTACATACTGGGACAAATGTGCCTGCATTGTTTGCATCATGGTCTTTTTTACACCTTCTGTCAAAGTCCTTTCTTTTGGACTGCCATTGTATGTCTATAATCCCAGAGAACTAACAAGCAATATACAGAATTTTAAAAGCATTGTTTTTTTGACTCGGCGTGCAAAGCCAGAGGCTTGGTACATGCTGAATAAAAAAAATGCACTTTAAGTGAAAAAATCTATAGCTGATTAAAGTTTAAAGTTGAAGTGTCTTCAGGGAAAGAATTATGCAGCAGCAATGAAGAGCTAATCCCAGAATTAAAGTTAGTTGGCTATTAACTATGATACATATCATACCCAAAAATCAAACCTTCTCCTCTGTCATTCCTGACCACCCTGGCTGTACTAGAATTAATCCACCCAATTTTTGTTGTTCTTGGAGAGATTCTGGCCCACTTACACCACCGCTTCGTTTGCAAGCAGCCTCACTGCTGACAGGTCATTTCCAGGTGTCTGCTGGTAGGGCAAATGCTTTGCCACGTGCATAACTCCTCTCACAAGGATGGTCCAATTGGCTTTACTAGGATTGCTCACTTTGGAAAAGTAATTGTGTGTTAGCATGGAGCCACAGAGATCTGTTTATCTATAAAGTGTGCATTTCTGCTGTGAATTTGTAATTTTTCTGTAGTAAAAATGTTTTAATATTATCTGGGAGATTTAGATGCATCTTTTGCATCTTGTCTTAAAGATACTGTCTTGAAAATATTTTATCTAAATCTCTTAATGAAATTCTAGAAATTAGAAGAACTATATCAAGAAACTCACACTTTCAAACACATGCAGCACCCTGATGCCTGTTATGATTTTTCAATCTCTCAAGTATTTTTAGCCACTTAATAATATCAAACCATTTTTTGTGTCATGCATTGAGGCAGCAGAGGTCTGTCAGAGAACTAGAACTCTGTCTCAGAGCCACAGCTCCCACTTCTACCCATGCCTTCAACCTTGTTCTAGTAAAAATGTCATTGCCTTAAGATTTCTTGAGAGATAAGAACATTTTAGGGAAGAAAACCAAACTAACTAACAAAACAGAGAAGCAGGTTTTAATTTTTAGATTAATGTTATTTTTCTTTAAACAGTTCAGAATTAAAATTACTTCCTCACCTTTCATGCTGTTTGTACCATGGTGAGCAAAGAGGGAAATAAGCATCGGTCTTCCTGACTGAAGTAGAAGAGGAAGGAGGATCTTGACATCCATTTTGCCTTTTCTCAGAACCAGTTGTCATCTGCTCTCCATTAGTGTTTCTCTCCTCTGAATCTAATAAACACATCTGCAGAGAAGCCAGACGTCTACAGACACGCAGATATTTCCAGCAAAACATGACAGTCATAAAATTGCTCCCTGCAAATTACTAACTTTCTTTTGATGACCACATGAAAAAAGCTACAGGCTAACAGTAATCTGTGCTGTATACAATTACAGAAAATGTGATTATTTTGTTACCGCACACTGAAAAAATTTGAAACTAACAATTATATTTTCCTGGTCCTTCTGCAATGTTGACTATACGATTTAATTTTTTACTAGAGTAATCTTCTTTTTCCAAGGCTGATTTTCACAGTTCACAAAAGAAAAATTTACCCCTCTTTCCACCTTTTATTTGTAGTCACATCTTTTGCACAATGACATACAGGACAGAGAGGGTTCTGTAAATCTACATGGTTCTTAATGAGATATCTAGATCTGGGTAACCTGTTCACAGTTTGCTGAATTATACTTTCTTTTCTGGTAGGGAACCATTTGCTCAACCATAAATTGTGATCTGAACAATCTGGAAACAGTGATTTAGAGGAGACAAACTTATACTGGGGGGCATTTGCTTCCCATTAGCCCTTACCTCCTGTAAAGGGATCACAGTTTTCCTTAAAGAGTTCCCAGGGTGGAACAGAAGAACAGATGTGCCCATGCTAGGGTTTTGTTCTTCCATGACCAAAGAACTTCAAGAGTGCTTCACCAGCACATCCACAAGGCAAGCACACCCTGAAATTGTTCTGGCCTTTGAGGTGTCACAAAAGGCTTACTGCTACTGAAGGACAAATATGTTCAGTTAATTCAAAGGAAAACTGAGATTAATATGCAGTAACAGACAGCCTGTTAATGAGCTGTTCACAGCTTTGCAAGCCATAAGTATTGGGGAACTCATAACGATAGTGTTGCCATTTTCAGGCTTGACAGTGAAGAGAAGGAAGATATGTGCGAGAGAGGCCACCAAGTGAGGGTAGTCAGGCATGGACATATTTATCATTCTTTTCCCTTCAAAATAAAAGGTGCATACTGAACACATTCTTAATATATTATAGTCAACAGATGGTCAGATAGGAAAAGAAACAGAAGAACATGTACATATCTTTTTCAGGATCCTGCTAATGACCTTTGTCAAAAGCACAGTTCACCTCTTGGAGACAATCTACCTGGCACTGCTAGAAATTGGGTAGCAAGATTACAGTGATCAGAGTGATTTTCAGTGAAACATGTTTGGAGTTCAAGGGGGAAGCATCTAGGAAATTTGGTGATCCTGTAGTTTTCTTCTTGAACAAACACCAAAGATTTAGCTACTGATATTTTGTTTATTACAACTATCATACTTACTTTCATACATTCAGGTGTTTTTCTCATACTAGATGTGGAATTTAAGCAAAGATATGTGTTTATTTGTATGTAACTGCAAGAAAAATGCAAACAGTTTCTTCTTGCCTCTAGCAATCAACAATAATAATAATTCATGCACTGTGTAAGTCCACTAGAATAGATAACAAAGATCTTTCCCCCCTGCCCTTTATTTCCTGGAGCATGGGAAGGAAACACTGCAGAATGGGAAGATCACATTCAGGAGCTGGTTCCATGTGAACAAATTATATGACGTGATGTCACTTCACGGTGCCTTGACGGTGCAGATAAGGCAGTTCATAGAGTTGCCAGCAGATATGTGAAATGCCAGGACAAGAGTTGCAGGGTACAGGTAGTGCAGAAAATGTGCCATTTTGCAGAATGAGAGTCCAGCAACTGTGCCTGAACTTTCAAGTGTGCTGATCATCATGCTTTTTGTTCTGCAGTCGTGTTCCTTGTTTCCCCAGCTGAAGAATATGAGTATTGTGTGCTGACGTTATCTTCTATTACTGCCAACAAGTTCTTCACCTTCTTATTTAACTTATGTCTTCTTTCCAAGCGAGAATATCCAGGTTTCGGTTGGATCTATTTTAAGGTGAATTAATTAACCAGCATAATAATACATTCCTGTTTTTAACTACTTAATTTTTTTTATTCTAACATCATTATAAAGTATGTTTAACAATGCCAGTAATAAGCATTTCTTCCTCTCCCACCATCCTTCTTATTTTCATTACAGGGAAACTTACCTCCTGATTATCGGATAAGTCTGATTGATATTGGTTTGGTGATAGAGTACCTGATGGGAGGAGCATATCGCTGCAATTACACCCGAAAGAGATTCAGAACACTGTACCACAATTTATTTGGGCCAAAGAGGGTAAGGAGCAAGTTATTTGCTATCTGTATGACTGCACACACTGACAGAGGTTACCATAGCTCCTTAGATGGCTCCAGGCTGCGGGGATTTACAGGCAAACACTATTCAGTCTACAGAGTCATTTCCATTCTGCACAAAGCAGCTGTTTCACCACAACACACCACAAGCCAGCTGCTGACGCAAGATACATTTTTAATGCATTTAATGAAAAAAAATGTGTTCTGTTGCCCTAGTGAGACCAGGACATAAAATAGTCTCTTCTGGCTCTAAAATCCATGATTATGAGTATCCACTTGAAAGAGAAGTCTTTTTTCCCTCTGCACCAATAATACCATAGGACTCCTGAGTTAGACTTGAAAAAAATTTGTGCTTTGACAGACACATTTCCTATCTCATGGCTCATCTTCTTGATTGTGGCCTGAGGGTATCAGGGCAAAGAATCCTGTAACTCAAAATTGGCTAGATGTGGCTCCAGCAGAGTCTGTGTTTATGGCAAAAACACTATTAAGTATTTTTGTGGTTTACATGTTTGATAGATTACAATTCTCTGAATTCCAAACAAGTTTACTACCTTTCTAAAACATAAAAGATATTTATTGTCATCCATAATGCCACTGACCCAATCCAGCATGAAGAAAGCTCTACTCAGCTACTCCCAGTAAGATTTGTAGTTCTTTCTCTGCCTATTTTTACCTCACATTTTCATTTCCTCAGTTCAGATTTTAGCCAATACACACCACTGAGAATTGTTCTAAGACCAACAGCTCTGTGAAACAGCTACAGGCAAACACCTAAAATGGGTTTGTTAGATTCCAATCACTTAAATATATCATTTTTGAGAGGAAAAGTGTAACTGTAGCTGCTGTGAGAGACTTCCTTTCCTTAGTCACTCCGTCAAGAAAAGTGTTAAAGTGTTTGACTAGCAATACTAGAGGTGCTGAACCAACAATGCAGAGAGCTCTACACCAGTCAATAAGAAGTGTGACAATGGAATGGGCAAAATACTCATGTACTCCAGAGAAATCCATCCATGCCTTACCAGTAATTCCTGTATCTTTTCCAAAGCCCCACACCAGCTGTAATACATACCTGATTACAAATGTATGTCTCCTGTTGAGTGTTTCAGTGAAATAGGGTCAAACTCAAGATTGAATTAAATATTTATATAATTATTTTATTTACGTGTATATATGTTGTGTTAGGCTACATTGCGTTACTCAGATCTATACTATATTCTATATTGTCTGTTGTATGCTTTATATGTTATACATCACATTGCACACTTAAACATGTATGTATGTATATACACACATAGAGTTGTAACTTTTTGGTACCCTTCTGAGAGAAATAACATTTTTCTAACTTCTTTGTACAGCCAAAAGCCCTGAAACTGTTGGGAATGGAGGTAGGCAACCTGTGATAAATCTTCATGTCTTTTCTTTCTTTGACATATACACTATATCAAGGTAATGTGTAAACTCACTGTTACGAAGGCACCAGCAGTTGTTTTCAAGTTTTGTATGAAATGTGCCATACAAATTGTATTTTTCATCCAGATAGCTTGTTTACGCAAAGGCCACATCAAGGAACATTTTTTAACAAAACTCTAGCAGATAGACAAAAAAAAGGCTCTGTCCCCTCTACGCATAATTTTTCTTATGAAGATTCAAACGAATGTTTCAGTCTGTCAGGACAAGCAGAATTTCAGTTGCATAAGCATGTAACTTTAAAACATGCTGGGATAAATTGAGCCATTGCAGAGAATGATGCAGAAATCTTTACAAGGGCCAGATTTCCATTAGTTTTGTTGGCATTGTTGCCCACACTGATACTTCAAGGAGATAGAAGTGTTGTCTTGTTTGTTTATTTTATACAACTTTCATTTTGCTGTCCACAGATGCAGCACAATATAGGTCAGATCATCTGATAAAAGCAGTAGACTAAAATGGGAAAGAAACTAATGAGAAAGAAACAACAAAGAGGTGGAAAAAGAAGGGGTGTCACTTTGAAGGGATACAGAGACAGAATGGAAGTGAAGAAAGGAAATTCCTACTTTTGTGAGAGGACAAAGGGAGAAAACACAAGAATGAGAAGAGAGGGAGTCTTCAGCAGACCAGAAAATCCCCTGGATAGGTATTTTCTGGAGGCAGAAGGAGGCAGATGCATTAAAACAGATGTTATATTTGAATTGAACTCTTAAATGTATTTTAATGGTGTCTTTTCTAAAATGATAGGGTTCTAAAATGTAAGGATATGCGTTTGACATACCAGGTACTGACCCTAATGTATTATGTGAATTGATTTAGTTCTTTCACTGGTGAAAAAAATTTCTCTACAATTGTCACAGGATGATGTCCCTTTGCGGCGAGGGAGGAAAACAACAAAAAAAAGAGAAGAAGAAGTTGATATTGATTTGGATGACCCTGAGATCAATCATTTTCCCTTCCCTTTCCATGAGCTGATGGTGTGGGCTGTGCTGATGAAGCGTCAGAAGATGGCCCTCTTCTTTTGGCAGCATGGGGAAGAGGCTATGGCTAAAGCACTGGTGGCATGTAAACTCTGCAAAGCTATGGCCCATGAAGCATCAGAAAATGACATGGTGGATGACATATCTCAAGAGCTGAACCATAATTCCAGGTCATTATTCTTTCATATACAATTTCCCTGGGGAGGGAAGTGGGGGGAGGTGGGAAGGGAGAAAGGCTGCTAAACCTGCCTGAAATCTGCTTATCTGGACCTTGCTTTTATTTTTGAGGTGTAGAAAAAGTATAGCCCCTTTAGAAAAAGTCTAAATAGCTTTTAAACAGTTTTTCTGCCAGAGAACTAGAGTTGCTAGCAGTATAACTTCTGAAATGATAAGTTTTCAAGAAGAAAGTGAAATATCTGTATTGTCTACATGTTCTTCCTGAGGCCTCAAGAGTCAGGCTGCAACATTTCTCTGTGCTTTTTCAAGAAGCTCTGTTCATCCCGACCAGAACAATTGTTGAAATTCTGACAAAAATAATATTTGGGCAGAAGTGTTAATTAACCAAGAGCGCACTCTTATGTGAGCAAGCCAAGATATTGGATTCCGTAATAATCTCTCACAATGTTAAAATTCTGAGACATTGACTTGACCACAGAGCCATGGGAAAACAGCGTAGAAGCAATGCTTGAAGCTTTAGATAACCAGATGATTATAGCTAGAAAATGTCAGGGAGGTGGGCAGGCAGGTGGGAGCAGACAGCTGGTAGGTGTGGGTGCTCATCACTGCTGTGCCAGGGCACTTATTTTTATACCTACCATTAGCCACTCACTTTTGAAACTGTGGGTTTCCATGTGTAGTCACAATTTGCATTATGGAAGGTGACACCCTTCTTGCAGAGGCTGTCAGTTGTAAAGGGGTGTATTCTGCAGTAGGCTGCTTGGGCTAATGGGAATGAATGCATGTCCCTCTGTTGCAGGGACTTTGGCCAGTTGGCAGTGGAGCTGTTGGACCAGTCGTACAAACAGGATGAGCAACTGGCAATGAAACTGCTGACCTATGAGCTGAAGAACTGGAGCAACGCCACATGCCTGCAGCTCGCAGTGGCAGCCAAGCACAGGGATTTCATTGCTCATACTTGCAGCCAAATGCTGCTCACTGACATGTGGATGGGTCGTCTCCGGATGCGCAAAAATTCTGGCCTAAAGGTCAGTATTGTTTTAAAATAAAATTGTCAGACAAGATCTAATATGTGGTGATGGGCCTCACAACTAATCCATAATAACTGGCTCCGTTAACTGTATTTCAGGTGCTTATTTATAGTGACATTAGGCAGGGTTGGTTCTTCCTCTTTTCATGTTTTCAGCAGGGAGCTTATCTCCATCCCAAGTTCAAAGCAAACTACTTAGTTGTTTCATCATCTTTCTCAAAGTTCCTTCCAGCATCAGTGAGAGTCCTCAGAATATTAATTGAGCCAGGAGGTTAGTATGTCACCCTGCCTGGACAGCTGAGGAGTTGGCCAAGGTTTTTAAAGATAAGTAAAGAAAAAAGGATGTGCAAGTGAGTTAACAGCTAGTGGAAGGTGTTGATCTGACAGCCTTCCCCAGAACAGTCCAAAGAAATCAGTACAAATTTTCTTGCATTCCCCTGCCACTCTTCTTAATGACTGACCCAAAAGGAGTACCTTAGAGCATCTACAGGATAATTTAATTTTCACAGCTGTTTAAGCTTTACTTCCACACTTAACAAAACTGCTAACAGAGCAAGGTGAATTCTGGGAGGTGAACTCATGTCCACAGGCTGATGTCTTTCACCTTCACCACTCTCCAGTCACTACATAACTAAGAATTGCCTCTTCCTGCCAGGTGACTGAGCAATATTTTCAGTGAAGGGGTTCTCTCTCTCCTGCATTAATAGCATATGTGAAAAGTGGTCAATGCTCAGCTGTTCTGCTGTGTGAAAAGATGTTCAGCAATGGCAAGAACGTTTATGAGTATGTACATCATTATCATACTGAGTCTAATCCAATGACAGTGATTAATAAGTACCTGATATCACTCTCATCATCCTTCTACACAAACTGTGCATAAATATTGTTCTGGTGGCAGGTAGGAAGCATTCTCATGTCTGGAGACATCTTTACTACCTATTTTTCTGACTTGACTCTCAGGCCCCCTTCAGAGGAACTGATGCCTTTTTTGCTGCTTGGCTTTGCAGATATTCAGTCTGGGTAGATGGGATCAGCACAGAACTCATTTCCCACTGCATGCTTTCTTCTTGACCACATGTATCTCTTAAACCATAAAAATAGTCCTTTTATTCACAGTGAACAGCTGAAGGCAGCGGACTCCGTTTCCTTTCAGCTTCTTGTAATACCAGGAGTTCACAAGAATCCTTTACTCAATTTCTAGTCTGTGTTTTATTTCACTGAATCTCATTAGCAGGGCCTGTTTAAAGCTGAAGCAGGCTACCAGCTACATGAGCAAGAGGCAGCATGGCAAAGAAATACATTTTCAAGAATGAGTCATGGATTGTTTTCCATGAACATTTTTCTCCTGTCAAAACTGGCAAAAGGCAAGCAGGCTGAATGTAATTATTTAGAGTCTTGCTGGGGATGTATAGAAGAAATGGGAGGGAGAGAGGCAGTTGTTAATCCTGCCTGTTTTTAATAACAGCCTCTTGATCTGCTGGTAAGCCTCTCTCCACAGACACATCCTTCTGCAACAAGCTGAGTGCAGGAGCAGTGTAGTAGTAGCCTGATGCTCAGGCTGGGCACAGAGTTCACATACAGTAACTGCTCCTAGTTATGGTACTTGGATAGTTTCAACAATACACAAGCTGTTGGTCAATATGATGAGCACAAGCAGTCACCCTCCCTGACTTGCCAGAAAGATAACTATCTGATTTCACTGTTGTTTAGGGAGGCATTTAAAACAAAATAATTTTCCATGAGATTGCTGCAAAACCAGGAAAGGCTGTGTGATTACAGAACAGCCACTTTGTGGGGTTTTTTTCTGTATTATGATGTTATCTGTTCAGTTATATTACTGCTTCAACCCCAAGCATCGTTCATTTGGTATCTCCACACAAAGTAATTTCAGTGGTTTGTGCACTCCCACATCATATGAGAGGGAAGGCAGAAATGAAAACACTGGCATTAACATGAGTATTATATGGCTGCCAGGTTACTGAAGCAAAAGCTAACTAAGCACATCAGCATCTGCTGTTGTTGACTTTACCTTATCACCTCAGAGCCACACACTCTTAGGTCTTGACTACCTTTGTGTGCATTCAGTGTGGACACAGAGATCTATTAACCCTCTCTTAAAGAAATTAATAGTGCTTTTGTGACATTTGCACTGATATTGCCTGTTATGTAAAATGCAGAAATTTGCAGGTCCAAGGTCTGAACTCCCTGTGGTCCCACCTGTCATTGACCTTATCTAATACTTTGTAAATGTATTCTGGTATATAACAGATATACCAGATCAGATGAACAAGCAGATAATATATTTCTGAGAGGCAATTAGCTATAGGACTCACAGCAATGCTAATAGATGTTACATGCTTTGTTTTACTGTGGAGCTCTGAAAACACTACCCCGATACTCTATTATTAAATACTCTATTATTAAAGAAACTCACATACACATGTATTTCTTTTCCTACATGTCCTGAAGGGGCTTGCTCTATTTGCTGTTAAGTAACCATTTTGATTGTAATCTGTTTACAGTGATGATTATTGTTATCATTATTATTGCTTTAGGTAATTCTAGGAATTCTACTTCCTCCTTCAATCCTCAGCTTGGAGTTCAAGAACAAAGATGATATGCCTTACATGTCCCAAGCCAACGAGATCCATCTTCAAGAGAAGGAGCCAGAAGAACCAGAGAAGCCTGTAAAAGAAAAAGAGGAGGAAGACATGGAACTCACCGTAAGTGCCAACAATAAATCACCAGCCTCAGTGCAGTAAATTTGTTGTTCCCACTCCTGTGGGAACAGCTGAAGGCTGACTGATGGCTAAATTTGGCAGATGACAGGACTCCACTCTTAACACTCCCCTTTCCTTGGTGAGACTGAAACCAGACAAGGTGGCATTACTGTTACTCAATGTTGAAGCAGAGCACAACGATGCTGAAACATCATGTTGTGATGTAGCGTCCTCTTATTTTTATTCAATTTGGTGCTGTGTCTCAGATGAATTAATGGGATTTCAGAATTGTTAGCATCCAGCCAGAACAGATGAGTGAGCCTGTCTGGTATAAAGGAAGCTACTAAGTCTTCCTTTGGGTGGAAATGCCCAAATATTCATAGAAGCTAGAAAATATATATTTTATTTTTTTTATGTTAACTTCATTAGAGAGAAAGTAAGTACACAAACAGGAAAAAAGAAAATTATTCAAAATTCTTTATGAGTTTATGGTCACTGCCGCTCACACATACACATGCTGTTTTTAATTCACTGAAGACATTAGCACACAGCTGGACAGCTCAGCCTTTACTAAGAGCTTCTGCAGCTCAGCAAAATTGTGTAAGGAAGGACTTGTCCACATTAGTAACACAGCCTTAGAAGAAAAATTTGCACCACAAAGGCAATCAAGTAGCTACAGCTCCAAAAACTGTGCAAGTCACCTACTTCCAGTCTCCAGTTCTCAAACTTTGTTTAATGGGTTTTAATTTGGGCAATTATCATATGAGCTATCAGACCTGCCTTAGTTTAGTTGGGTTTGCCTTGGTTTGGGTTTGATTGCATTGTCTTTGAAAGACATAAAACTCAACACCACGGTCAAGGTCAAGATAGAGGAACAGAAATAAAAGGGATCTTCCTGATTAATTTAATAAAAAATAAAAATAATTTTAAAATAATAAAATTAAATTAAATTTTAAAAACCACAAAACAAAAACTGAAAACAAAAACAAAAAAAACCCAGACTGTTTCCCACAGGCAAACAGCAGGAGCTGCCCACAAGACTCCATCTGCAGGCAGGCAGAAGGACCTGCCTACAGGACCCAATATGCAGGCAAGCCGAAGGAGCAGCCCACAAGACCCATCTACAGGACTCGTTTGCAGGCAAGAACCTGGCTGTTGGGAAGGACCAGAAGCCAGAATAGCAGCAATGGGCCATTCTCCACTCATTAGTTATTACTTGCAATTTACTATGCTTGGCTTCTGATCCACTTTTGAGGTGCCTATTCAAATCAAATAAGCACTTTGCAAGCCACATTTTTCTTGGCAATGGGGAGAAATTTTGGGAGGAAGTAATTTTCATCTCTCTGCAGTTATCCCAGCTCCTGGTTTCTTGTCTACAATACTGTGTTTCCCTTTTGCCTCCTAACTGATGCTACAAGGAAGTGATGTGTGAACTGGATCTGTTTTCTGTTTTTTTCAGACAAGTTTCAGGTGTTCCCCCTCTTCTCCTTTCCATGTGCTGACAGTCCTATTGCTCTCTCCTGTCATTGGCTCTGCCTTCAACTCCTTCAAATTTGATACATCATTCTAGTGAAGTCTCAGACAAAGCATTTTTTATAAAAGAAGAACTTTTTGTTGAAGTCCAGCAAGTTTAGAAAGATTTTTTTTTTGTACAGTACTGCTGAATAAATTTTGGACTTGTAATACATTTTCTTCACACAGGTGCCCTTCAGTGGTGAGAGTAGATGGTATGTGGTTAGATGTCACAGCCAGTTATATTTATTCACATTCAGTCACAGTTTTAGAGAGAGTATTCCTCCATGGCACGTTTCAAATGTAAGAAGATACTTCAGATCCAAGTTTTGTGTTGTTCAAATGGTCTAGTGTAGGTTAGGTCAGGTCTATTCTTCACTGATGAGAAAGTGTCTGTGAGACTGGAAAGTGCATTTGTGAAGTTTCCCTTTAGCCACACTTCATAGTTCATAGTTCACTACGATTAATAATCAATTGAGATCTGATATTACAAATGTTGATCAGTTGCTGAATTCTGGGTCAATAGATCAGTCACTCACCCCTGACCATAACTTGCACTTATTGTGTCCATATAACCTGCATATTTTCCTCCATTTGTTTTTCCTGTCAGGATGAACAAATGGATTATTTGTGTGTGTATGTGATTACTTCAGGGTTTTTCAGTATATTTACTTAATTGACACATGATTGTTTAAAATATTTTCAAAATCTTTCCATGGTTTGGGTTTCTGAGCTTTGTTCAGCTTAAAGCTTAAGCAAACAAAACTCATTTACTTAAAATCATTTCAATCACCTCAAAACTCCATTTCTGGCAGATAATGTACTATCCAAACAATCTACCTAGCTCCATTTCTAGTAATTGCCAGTGCATACTTCTCAAGTCTCTCTATTCCTATAATATTACACCCATATGCGTTCTTATAAAAGGACTGCCAAGATGAAGAGATCACATCTAGTCAAGATCTGTTCATTGGTTTCTTATGAAGTCTTATTGTGTTCTGCACTGCTAAGTCCAGGTGACTAATGATAGACCAAGAGTCAGTTTTTTCCTCTGGACTGACTGCACTTGTGTGGAGTGGATGAGGTACAGGTCCACAGTGATTTTTACGCTATTTCACACCTCATTCACAGAGAATAATGTGATCACACAGACTACATCAATAGTGAGGTAATCCCCTGCATGGGGGTACATCTGCATGCAGTAGTGTCTTCATTTTATGCTCCTCTCAAAGGATCTGGGGGGTAGCTGAGCATTTGGATATACTATAAAGATGTGGTGTTTATCCACTGTAAACTACTTGTTACTCACACCTTGGTTTTAACTTTACAACAGATATATGAGAGTGCTGGCATACATTTCTTTAACACCTAGATGCTAGGCAACCGACTTCCCTTGGCACAGCTACTCACAAGAACACACCTGAATACTATTCTCATCACCAGTCTCTCAGAAGCAAGGATTTTAGCATGATTTATGCATGGAGCTGCCAGTCATTAATATGAAATGTAATGGAGTAGAAGGACACTAAAATCTAAAGCTCAGGGATGTTTTGTATTTGTACAATATCCTGACCAGAACCTTAATTAATTGCTGATTTTTAGGTCAATCAGAAACCCCAGCGGTCTACCCTCCTCCCACAATAACACTGATTCTTGAAGCCATTAGGAGGAGCATCCTATTCCTATTCAGTGCTTTATTGTTTGGGTATCAGAGTTTCTCAGTAAATGGTCTTATTTCAGAACACAGAATCTAAGTCCTTTAGAAGATGTTGTCTCATTTTGTTCTAATTTTCCACATCCAATACGAAGTTTGGACTTCCACAAGCATCACTAAGAGTCTGAGTTAGGACTTAAGAGCAACAACAAAGCTAGTTGTGCTGGCCTCTGGGCTCATATTATCTCATCAGTAGTATGGATACTTGGCCTTTTCTCCATTGCAAGAACAAACCGAATATTGTATCACTAAAAATACATTTCTTAAGATAGCAAAGCTTGAACATTAGCATCCTTGTTCTCCTGGCCCATCTCATCTACCCCACTGGCAGACAGTGCTCACAGCATCTCACATGCCAGCAGCACACACCAACTTCAGCTCATTTAGAAAACAGCAGTGGAAGACACTGCCAGCAGTCAGGAGGCAGAAGTTCTTGCCCTCTCCATAAGGAGGTGTTTTCCTCCATTTCTCGGAGAGTTTTGAAAACCCCATGGCACAACTGCCCTGGCACTCTCCATGTCCTTCACTGTGCTCAGCAGCCAGGATGACTGAGCTCCTGGTAATTTAGTCCTTCTCCTCTGTATTCACTTTAAAGAACCGCTGAGCACATGCAAAATCCAGTTTTACATACCTGTAACACAAAGGCATTAAACATCTTTTTCCTACCAGTATTTCCAGGCCGCAAACAGTAACCCTAGAACAGCTATAATAGAGGCGGGATTTCCATTCATAGCACAGGATACGACGGGATATATAGAGAGAGGTATGATATACCCACCCATCTACATACCATCTCCCTACCAGTTCCATGTAAATATGGGCTAAGTCTATATGCAGCATGTAGATTTCACTGAGGATAAAATCTGAAGAGCCTATGAGCATTCTAGCACTGAAATTTCTATTATTTAATTAGAAAACAGATAAATATATTATAGGATCATCAACATATATTAATGAAAAAATGCATAACCCAAAACTGTCCTGGTTTGCAATCAGTGAATTAAAGAACACAAAATCTGGCCAAAAAAGGCCCCCAAAACACCAGAATCTGAATTAGAAAAACCTCCCTGTAAAAACTGTGCGCACATCAATCCCCTCAGGCTAAAATGATGCAGTTGTACTGTGCTTTGCAACGTGGTTGAGCTGCTGTGGGGCTTACCTTGCATGACTCATGGTGACTCATGGGCAAAACTGTGTATTAGAGAAAGAGATGCCACCCACACAGAGAAGCATCTTGAGTTATTCCCACCCAATTTCTCTGTCCTCCAAGTGAAAACACATTTGTTCACATTCAGCATTGCAGCTATTCTGTTAACAGTCACTTAGGTTATTTCTCTATGTTTCTTATGGGAAGGTTTTTCAATGTGTTAATACTATGAGATAATTAACAGTCAGGGACATTGGGTCAAATCTAATCCTCAGCCATCACAGACAAATTCCGCATCTGTAGCATGGAGAAGGGAAGAGCTTATTATATGATGCCATTAATTCAAAAGTAATTATAATGAGATAAAATTACAGCATCATTATGAAAAAGAAAACAGTAGCAAACAGGAAATCTGTATCCATGAAAGCATAAATCCAGGGTTTGAAAGAGCATTATTCTAAAAAACATCCACAATTCACTGATTCCACTGAGAAATAAGGTTGTCTCAGAATTAGCAAACTTACAAAATTATAAAGGATTTATACTCTGTAAAATAATCCCTTTCACTAAAGCACGGCAGTGCTTATTTGTTAAATCTGCCAGATTTTCATTTTGCTGCAAAATTCTTGAGCACCAGAGGACGGCAGAGACAAAGCCTTGGGAAAAGCTACAGAAAACTCTGTAGCACCAGATGGCAGCTTTCCCTAAAGCAGCCTCAGGCTCTAAAGGGAAGCAAAGAAATGAGTGTCTTCTTGGGCTATAATTTTCCCAAAGCATTCAGATTTTTTTTTTTCTCTTTCTTTCCCAAATAAAAAATGCCTAATGTAGACCAGGGAATCACTTTGGGTTTGTAGACTTCAAGTAATGATACTTGCTGATGACACAAAACTGGGAGGGGTGTCTGAAACACCAGAAGTCTGTGCTGCCATCCAGTATGACCTAGACAGGCTGGAGAGGCAGGTGGGGGAGAAACTTGATGAAATTCAACAAGGGCAAGTGCAAAGTAATACACCTGGGGAAGAACAACCCCATGTATCAGCACAGGTTCGGGGCTGACCTGCTGGAGAGCAACTCTAGGGTAAAGGACCTGGGAGTCCTAGTGGACAACAGGATGACCATGAGCCAACAATGTGCCCTTGCAGACAGGAAGGCCAATGGCATCCTGGGATGCATCAAGAAGAGTGTGGTCAGTAGGTGGAAGGAGGTTATCCTCTTCCTCTACTCTGCCCTGGTGAGGCAACATCATAAGTACTGTGTCCAATTCTGAGTTCCCCAGTTCAGGAAGGACAAGGAGCTACTGAAGAGTCCAGCACAGGACCACAGAGATGATGAGGGGAATGGAGCACCTATTGCACTAGGAAAGGCTGAAAGAGCTGGATCTGTTCAGCTTGGAGAAGAGAAGACTGAGGGGGAATCTCATCAATAGTTATAAATATCTAAAGAGAAAATGTTAGGAGGATGAGACCAGAGGTGTCCAGTGATAGGACTAGTCTGGATGAGTTCCTGTGATCTACTGTAGGTGATCCTGCTCTACCAGTGGGGTTGGACTACATGATACTCAGAGGTCCCTTCCAACCCTGATCGTTCTGTGATTCTGGGGTTCTGTGAAGGCTTTGTAATCTCTGCTACTATAGTTATATTCAGTAAGACTCCTGTTTTTGCAGACTATCTGCTTAACTAATAAGAGTGCATCTCCTCTGCTGAACAGCTACTTCATTCTTTTGCTTTTTGTGAAACTCTTTATTGACTTCTAAGTGTTTCTGTGTGCTCTGAGAGCAACAACTGGAGATATACTTAATTTTTTTATTGTGCATTGTTTTATGTACATTTTTGGCAATTAACTAAGAAATCCACGGGCATAAAAAGGTAAAGGGAATAGATAACTTCATCAAAGCAGACCACAGTTTTGCAAGGATCTCACCAGATTAGTTTCAGTGAAGTATACTTGTGTCCTGGATCTTTGTTCTATTTTATTAAAAATATTCAGGGCAACATCTGTGCATAGTCAACTTAAAGAATACAAGTGCCCAATTGAAAGCATAAGGGACCAATCTGAAAGTAATAATACCAGAGGAAAACACTAACTGCATAAATTAAAGAGGAATATTAGGAAGAAGCCACCTAGGAACATAGAAAATCTCCACTAACTGAAAGAAAAAATTGTGGTCATCCATTTATCATTAAAAATTACTATTTTACAGGACCTCTACAAACAGCTCCACGTGAGGCCTAGAAAAAGGAAGAAATAGAAAGATTGCAATTTTTTCTTCTAAGTGTGTGAGAAGTGCCTCTGCTTTTCCTGCAGAGAACTAGTACCAGATCAAATAGCTAACAGGAAGCTTATTAGTTGATCATGTACTGGACATCCTGTTGAATCAGAAAGCACAGGGACAGAAAAAAAGAAGAACCCCTGTATTAAGAGGCAATATGTCTGTCATCTCATGTTTTCTTTGAGGGCTTAGTTTTCCATGTTTTTAAGTTGCAGGTGAGAACAATATTATCTTCAAGGATGGTGAAAGTTTGCTTCGTTTAACATAAAAGTACAAAAGTCCTTTGATCTACTTGTAGAAAAACATTGTAGAAGTATTTAAATAAAAGCATCACCATGCAATCCCTGCATAATTAAACAGGAGAGTTGTATCATAATTCTTGCAACTGCTTTCATGTGCATGAATGCTACTGTCTATAGGTACTGCCACAGAATATAAAGTAAGAACTTAGTCACCATGACCTAAAACCCACTCTTAGTGGACTAGTCACCAAGGAATTTTTTCAGAAAGAACATTTACTTGATCACGCCGTACCTAAATACACAGGAGCACCTTCTTTTAAGCATTATCTTCAGTGAATAAATAGTTTAGTGACTCCTTCCACTTCTCTGCAGCTGACCATGAAGTTTAGAGTGAACAAAATACTACTATATTTTGGCTGTTAGGTTTGCACTTATAGCTGAGGACTTCCTAAGTATGTGTTTCTGGAGCTCCGAGTAGCTCTTCAGTGAGCCTGACTTGTAATGGTAACAGTAAGACCAACCCTAGCAGAGGCAGTGCCTGAGCAGCCTGGAACTTCATTATGGAAGAAGCTACAATCACATGGAAGGATCTTTCAATCCAAGGCTCTAATGCTGCAGTGAATTCCACTGGTCAGTCCTCTGCATCCGTGTGAAATTCAGTGTGGGATCATCACTTGTGACAGATCTGGCAATCAATGTAGAAAGAGTCACTGCTTCATTGCTTCGAGTCCAGCAACTGCCAGCTCATCCCTTCCCCTGCTCTCTCTCAGTCTCAGCCTTATGAACTTCTCTTTGTTTAAAACTGAAACTTACCTGTTTTCTGTGTTTGTTTATTATATAGAAGTACACCACAAAAAGCTGTTGTCAAGTAAAAATTTTAGTATTCATAAAGCGAAAGGAGAAGAGTTCTCCTTATCTCATTTTTGTTCACCAGTTAAGGCTTTCTCACTGGTGCTGTCAGTTGCTGCCAAAGCATTGCTTTTTTTTTTTTTTGGTTTACAAAGTATTAAATGGCAGCTTCCCTGCAAAAAAAAAAAAAAAGGTAATCTGAGAACAAAGCTTTTTACATCTAGTTATCGTCACCTGGTTTTGTCTACAGATTAAGAAATCAGAGAAGTTATAATTGTTTCTTTTTAAAATTTCAAAAATTAGCTTAATTTTTCCTTCACAAAGAAAGAAACACAAACATGTCCTTTCTTACAGGCAATGCTGGGACGAGGGAATGGAGAGTCCTCAAGGAAGAAAGAGGAAGAGGAAGTTCAGAGCAGACACAGGCTCATCCCAGTTGGAAGAAAGATCTATGAGTTCTACAATGCTCCCATCGTTAAATTTTGGTTTTACACAGTAAGAAATATTTCCTGTTGTAATACTACTGTTTGCACAAATACTGAAATTTGATTAAGGTGACCTTCTGTGTTTCATTGACATTCTGCATCTGTACACATTGGAGGGCTTAGTTATAAACAGTTTAAACAAAATCTTTTGTAGATATCAGCCAGCACTTGCAAACCTGTTGAAGACTTAAAAAACCTACTATTTCATTCAGGAGGTTAATGGTTAAAATTTGAATGATTGTGTTTCTGTTTTTCTTCAAATACACCAAAAATTTGCAGTTTGCTGCAGTCAGTGCTGCCAAAGAATCCCCTATAGGAGAACTCCCCATAGGAGAGCTCCCAATACTCAGCCCAATGGGAGCTGAATCAGGATATCAAATGGTAAAATAATGGATGAAAAAAAGAGGCAGATTGAGCACACCTTTTCTTGGAACATATCTTCTTTGTTCTGTTTTGACTTGTCTGCAGACCATATCTCAGAAAGAATGTTTGTGTAGGTACCCACAAGATAATAAAGACATGAATAGCATCCAGTGTACATTTTTCGGGGACAAATTATGGCAAATCTGTATAAATTTCTTGTGTTATAAAGAAACAGACCTTGTAGGTGGAACAGAAAAAAAATAAAAGCCATATTTTGACTAAAGTAAGACAGTATCAAAAAGTTTAGAGTATATTCTAACAGATAAATTAATAACTGCTATATTAAAGTCACTGTGTGGATAAAATTCTTTTTGGTAATTGATCCTGAAGAATATATATTAATTATTCACTAACAAGCTGGAAGCAGGGATTAGAAAGGATTCCACTAGGGTCTCTGCTACATCAGGTGCTATCTTATCTCATATTTTCATTCAAAACTTGGCTGATCAAACAGAGATTAGTTAATTTGCAAATTCCATTAGAATGTAGAAGGACAGGGCCAAAAAATAAAATGAACACAGAAAGTAATCCTTACAGTCTCGTTGGCTGGAATATTCTATCCTAGGTCAGCTTCTGGGATAGAACGTGACAAGTATGGACTGGTTTGAAGGACACAAGTAAGAACAAGGAAAATGTTTCAAGTGGTTTCTAAAACTTCACTTAAGGGAAAGTTTTAAGAAAATGAGTTTGTTTTCTCTGGAAAGAAAAACAAACAAGTCTTCAGAAGGAATGTAGTAGATGTCAAAAATGTAAGCAGCTGCAGAGAGAAATAAAATAGAATAATCTCCAAATCCTTGCTGATAGGACAAGAAGATGTAAGAAAATATCTTCTAACTGCTCCAAGAAGTACTGTCATCAGCTGTGAGAGGAGATGGTAGATTTTCCAGTATTAGAGATTTCCAAGTCTGTCATATCAAAACATGTGTCCACTATGGTACATTGTAGTTAACCCTGCCTCAGCACCATGCAGTTGGCCAAGTGATTTCAAGTGGTCCAGCCCAGTTATATTTTCCCTCATTATGCTGCATGCATAGCAAATCACGAAGAATGCATCCTTCTGTAGATTACTTCTTATAAGAAAAATTGCCTTCCCGACATCCAAGCAATATGTCTACAGACAGCAGAAACAACTCACATGAACAGAGACTAAACTGTGGTAGATATCTTATGCTAGCAAGTAGCTCTAGTTTGGCACCTTGGAGTGACTGCTTGCTGAAATGTGCGGCAATTGAACATTAATCAGACTGATGAGTCTGCAGCCTAGTCTCATTAGCAATTACAATATGTATTATGCATAACCACAGAAGTCTTTACACTGTATACAGAAAGAAGCATCCCAGCTCTCCCTGTTCTATTCTGAAATTGGAGAAAAAGATCAATATATTACCATTTCCATTTAGACCTGTTCCTACAGTTTTATGTCTTCAGGCAGCTCCTAGTCAAGGTTAATTACTGAAGCTGGATCTTGGACTTCAAAAGCAAGTTAAGGTGGATTCCAGCTGCAGTGTTTGACAAGTTTGGTATATAGAGAAACACCTGGAGACTGAAAGCAAAACAGCTTTCAGATGATGGTTAAAATTGCCCAGCCTATTGCACGTTTTATAAGCACACAGGCAGAAATATTAATAGATTTCAAGAGAAAGGCTCCAAATTTTGCATGACATAGTTCAGAATGCAAGAGAAGTGACTATACTTATAGCTATTGTGTGCTATTTAAAATAATTCTATATTCTATGTCTACCTATTTGTTATTACTCTATAACTATATCCACCTTCATTCTTAAAATACACAAGAGCAGGTTAAAGTTATGGACATTTAAGGAAGCAACATTTTGGCTCAGCAGATGAGCCAAAATAAACAGCTTATTCTCAACCAAAAAAACCCAAAAACTTTAGCTCCTGTCTCTGGACATTGAAATAGTTTCAAAAGACAACTTTATACTGTTTTGTGGGTGTGTTATTGAAACTATGACTTAAAGGTTTCATCTCACAGATTGCTTGAGAAGAGAATAGCCTTCTCCTTTTAACTACTAACTAGGCTGAAATGTTAGCAGGATGTGAAGAGGTGACATTTTTATCTCTTCAGAAGAGGAATAGCTGCAGATTGAATTGAACCCTGGATAAGAGTAATATTCTAAACATCAAAACAGCTTGGTCCTAAGTTTTGGGCTTTGGGACCACTTCACTTTATGATCATTTCATTATTGCTACCAGTGAGATAAGGGGAGGGTAGTCTTCCTCTTTAAGGACTGTTCTGCAGATACGATTTCCAGGCTTGTGCCTTACCAGAATAAGTATTGGAGTGCTTTCTATGGATTGGGACACCAACCCTAGGTGGACAAGGAGCAACCCACACTAGAAACTTCTTAGCAGGCATTCCTCTCCTTAGTTTCTTCAGGTATTGCCCTCAAGGGTGAAAATGTCAGCCCCTAGCTATTTGTCAAGCCATGTAGAAGCAAGAAAAAGAGGTTTCCGCTTCTTCTGTAGTGACACTTTCAAAGACTCTTGAATTACCAGCATGGGCAGCAGTACTGAATTTCAACCACAGTGTGGGACCAGGATATCCTCCTGGAAGGCAGGAGAAAGTTACAGGTCTGGGGAGGGAGAAGAAAGGTGTGATACTACCTGAAGGGCTTCCTTCTTGGTTTAAAATTGTGCTGTTTCCAGTCATGATGCCTTTTTCTTCCTTCTTCTTTTTTTCTTCCTTTTTTTTTTTTTTTTTTTGCCAAGCAAAAGATTTTCAGGCATTGTCAGTAAATTTTGATTGACCAAAAAATAAACAAACTGACAAAACAAAACAAACAAACAAAAACTCAAAAGAAAGAACCCAAGCAACTCAAAAGAAAAATAAGAAGAAGCAAAAGTCCTTACTTACACTGAGGGTCTTGTGGTTTCTGTCACCTTACTGTTCCTATTATTTTGCTATACTAACTGCAGATGCTCACCAAAGGCTATTGAGTCAAACCAAACTAGTAAGATTTGGCAATCATTAGTAACTAGTAAGATCTAAGAGGAGGGGTGCTAGGTGACAGTATTACCTGGCTTTTTGCACTATAGCAGAAGGTGTTCTTTCAGCCTGTGGAGTGTGCATCCAGTTCTGCCTGCCAGACAAAGATTCTGCTGACTCCTTAAATGCTGACCTAAGTCAACATTGCTCCCTATTTCCTTTAGGAGTGCTAAGGGAAGACGAATCTCTAGACCTGAACACAGTAAGCCATTGTAACATACAAACTAAAAGACGAATGAGATAATTTCCTCTGCTGTTTCATGTAGACAAGAAGCAGTGGTTCAACTGTCTGTCTTCTCTGTACTTATGGCCAATGTAAGGAATACTCGTAAGTGCCCTTCAAACCAGCAACTGGAAGAAAAGCCAGAACCCTATGACTTTTACACAGAGCAGAAGTAATGTTCTTTAACAAAGATGACAGGACTTTAAATCCTGTTCTGTGAGCTGCTGAATACTGAAAAGTGAACAGAGGAGAAGCATGAGAGAAATAAAGGATGTTAGAAGCAGAGGAGGGAGAGATCTTCACATAGGTAACTTAGTTTGGTAGTTGGTAGTGATATTAGAGTTCTCATGACTCTGGGGTTATCCAGGGGGACTGAATTTATTTTGTTCGGGAGGCAGATGTAGCTTAAGGACAGGAAGTCTGTGCCTGTATTTTGCAGATTCCATACTGTATATGATTTAATGTGAGTTTTTTTCAGATCTGATTGGGGTTTTTTCCTAACTCTGGTTAAAGTAGAACTAAAAATATTGAATCATACAAAAGAAACTATCTAAGTCATGAAAAATATAATTACTATTGATATTGCTTTTGTTTCTTTACAGCTGGCTTATATAGGCTACTTGATGCTGTTCAATTATATAGTGTTAGTGAAGATGGATCGCTGGCCATCTACACAGGAATGGATTGTCATCTCGTACATTTTCACTCTGGGAATAGAGAAGATGAGAGAGGTAAAATCACATCAACTGAGAAAGAATAAAAAATAAATGAGGGGAGGAATTCTTATTTTAGTATGTTTTTATTATTTTTCTCAGTAAAATTTGTAATGAACAGACATGATAAAATTGCTGCCTCCTTCTGCAGAAAAGCTGATGGATTGTTAAAAACAGAGCACTAAAAATCTATCTTCCTCTATTTTAAAATCCAAAATCTCTTTCTTTCTCCCATGGAATTTCCCTAATCAGGTTTCTGTGTGATGCACATTTAATAGCATTCAAAAGAATGGAGCTGGCTTCTGACATATTTGAAAGCTCGATTATGTTCCTTGACATGTAGTCCCAAAACTGAAGTATGTTTCAGGGAGGTGAAAAGGAGATGCACTGAAACAGAATGGACACAGAAACATCGTGATAGCCTGAAAAGTGAAAAGCCCGTGTTTTAATCCCACCCCAAATAGACTTCATTCAAAATTTACAGCTGCTATGTCAGTCCAAGTATCTGATGAAAAAGCTTTAAATAAAACCATCTGTAACTGGGGGGAAATTTAGTTCCACATCAAATATTGGAGCACATTTCTAATAGATTTTCCTCCTTTTAATCTCCAAAATTATTGCTAATTATGTCAAGAAATAGCATGCATCTCCCTAAAGATGCTAACATGTAGAACAGAGCCAGAGCACTTCAGGTGGTGTGCAGTCTACAGGCAGAGGGAAGTTGTTGTGCTACCCCCTGCCCCTTGTGGTCTCCCCCAGTTGCAGACTGCACCCTTTTCACTTGGCCAAATGTGCATTTGTTACACACTGACACAATTTAGCCCTGATCTGAGTGGGATGACCTCAGCTGAAACAGTACATTTATACCCCTGGGCTGAATTTGTTACCATCTACGCTTGTATTTTCTGCAGCAAATGTCTTGGAGGACTAGACTAAATGGTCTTGCAACAGTCACTTAAACTTCAAAAATAGATTTCAAACACTGAGCAGTAGACTCTACATTGCAAATAAAAAGACCAGTGGCAAATACACTAGCTGTGACCAAAAGAAAAGGGAAAACAGTGGTAGTAGCCAGGATTCCTCAACACTGATGGAGACAAAACACCAGTGGCTCAGTAAGTGGAAGGCTGCTGGCAGGAATCATATGTGCCATTTTTGTCTAATAATTTACCCCACATTGTCCTTTCCACAAAAATTTATCAAGAACATTTTTTGGAATGGATTTCCAAGCAGATGTTGGAGATAGTTCACAGAAGATGAGCCTAAAATTCGTTCTGAAAACAAATTATGAGAAAGACATTCAGCTTTTTAAGGAACTGTGAGTCTGATTAATGTTCTTAGGCTAAATATAGAAAATTAAAACAAATAGCTTGTTAACTCACTAAAAGCTAGGAATTATTCATAGAAATCACTTGAGGAATAGTTTCAACCCTAATTTGGGAAAACAATCAAGTCTTCCAAATGATCTTGCAAATAGACTGACAATAAATTCCTAAGGTAAGATTAATTATTTCTGTGAATTATATTCTCAGTTGTAGAATTTAATTTCCAAAAACAGGTCCAAGTAGTAGCTACTATCTTTCTGTATGACATGCTAAATCTAGATCTTTATGGTTATTAATTCTTTATTGACAGTTTGATGCACATTTTAGCTAATTTCATTAAGTATGTATCTTTCTATATTTCTCCTTCTATCCCAAGACCTGAAGGTCAATACATTTGAAAAACAGAAAGATACACATATATTTCTTCTGATTTCATAGGGATTTTTAGAGTGCGGGAGAGTTTTATCCTTTTTCTTTTAAGCATCTTGCACATAGATACAGGCTAAGCATGGTTGAAACTGAGGTTTTCTGAAAATAAAATAAAAACTCAAAGAGTACATGAGATATTTGTATGATAGAAGTTTATCAGCTTTGCTTTTGGCCTGTGTGGCATGTATCTGTTTACTATAGATTTTTTCAAGCTTAAATGAAGACAGCTCAATTCCTTTCCTGTCCATGTCCTCTGTCCTTCAGATATTGATGTCAGAGCCCGGGAAACTGTTGCAGAAAGTAAAAGTTTGGCTCCAGGAATACTGGAATGTGACTGATCTGATAGCTATCCTCCTGTTCTCTGTTGGGATGGTGCTCCGTCTGCAAGATCTGCCACTCCGGAGTGATGGCCGAGTGATATACTGTGTTAACATCATTTACTGGTATATACGGTTATTAGACATCTTCGGAGTAAACAAGTATTTGGGACCATATGTCATGATGATTGGGAAAATGGTAAGAGAATTTAGTGTACTACTTTTTACCAGCATGTTCTTGACTCAATGTCTTTGGCCAATGACATCACTGCAGATTTATCTGTATTTTCTTTAACACATTAGCATTTTCATGTAAGCTAGAAATCAGTGCCTTATTGAATCAAAATCTGAGCAAAGACCCCCCCAGAATTGAGGATTAGACTTGAACTTTTCTGTTAGGTGTTATATTTTCTGTCTTTCTCCATGACCACTCTTCAACAGCAAAGCTATCCATCCTACACCTCTGTGGCTCGCTAGCAGAAAATACAAAGGATGTTAATTCTCAAAGAATTGTATAGAAGTGTGGCTTGTTAAGGTGTGTTGTGATAGGTGTGGTCTGTTCAAAATTATAATGGTTATGATTAAGACCTTGACCTTTCTATAGTTGGCTCCGTATTCATTTGTTCTTCCGTTTTTTCTGGCCAGGTGTGTCCTTGTGAGATAGGAAACCCAGTTGGGTAACTACAGCCTCTGACACCTGGCTAAATCATGTGTACACAACATGCCAAGAGTATTAGTAGTTTATCTAATAGTAAATGCATACAGTAGGAACCAAGAGATAATTTGCTTCCAAATGTATAACTTCTGAGTTTCTGGCTTTTTCCTTTACATTTCAGTCAAAATGTTAGATTAAAGCAGCATTTTGCTCATATGAATTAAAGAAAATGGCTGAATTTACCGATGTAAATGATATTCAAATAGTCACAACAAGCTCAGTGATTCTGAGCAGGTCTAAAAATTAAGTACAAAATATATGTCCAGAGAACCATTGTCTTATCCCTTTACCTTATACCACCTTTCAACTCCAAATACACACTGGTGGATTTGGCAAAGAAGGAACATCTTAGTGGGGAACAAAAAACCAACCAAACACAGACACACACACACACAAAAAAAAAAAAAAAAAAAGGCAAGAGAGGGGGGAAAACACAAAAGATAGTCGTTATTGAATTGGTATGTCCTGACAACAGAATTCTGAAGTATGGTACCTTCCTTCAAGGAAGCCATTAGGATGTTGATGGTAGGGATTTTGCAGAGCTCCAGAGTACAGAGGTGAAAACACACATTAGTTCTTTCTGGAGGCTACTGTGAAGGGACAGAAGGGCAAGAGAAAGGACCGAAGGCCAAAGGGAAAACAGTGTGCTATAATCTGTTTCTTTCTTGCCCCAAATGGAGTATGTCCCTCCATAAGAGGATCTGGTGTTCACTGAAACTTACACAATACACAGTGCATAAAACTCCTAAGAAACAACTAGCTTCCTACCCAGTGGTACTTTTTACTGATGCTATGCAAAAATAGTTTTGAGCTGTGATGCTAGCAATGGCAGTCTGAAAACTAGTTCAATAATAAACAGTTGAGCCATGAATAACAGACTTCTAGTAGTCAGTGTTATGGATGGCTGATAGAAGCCCAGCTTCACTAATAGTATAAACAGTCGTTTATTTTTCTCCTGGGGTCAACACAGAAAGGAAATGGTTGAAATCAGCAAAATAATATAATTTCCATTCCTTTGTCATCCTTGCATGTGTACCACAAATCAAGCCTCAGTGGGCTTTCACTGGAAAACAAACGCAGGAAAAGCGCTAGCCTCTGTAGGCTCAGCACCCACAAAGAGGGTGTTGAATTTAGCTACTAGAGTACTCTGAAGGTGTGGGCAACTGTTAAAAGAGGGAAGTTCTTTTCTTTTGTTCTTTACTGTTATTTGATTTTCATGCATCATTAAACTTTCCATGCACTCAGAAACTCTGACACATTCCCTTTGCCCACACGTGCAATGCCCAGCTGGTTTGAGTTGCACAGTTTTGCCTCTCACATCTATTTTCTCACCTACTTATTCCCCTGTGTAATGGCCAATCCCTTTGTATCATGCACAGACTTCCCTGGGAGTCCCACCTGCTTGCTCCATGCTGGAATGAGCTCTATTGTGCATTTTTGTTTAAATCACATGTCCATTTACCTCCTTGGGTTCTTTTTCATTTTATGGTTTTGCATGTACTATTCAGCACTATAGAGAATATCAAACCACTTACAGATATTTCTAGAGAGTAGGACTATCACAGTTGCTGAGTTTTTCAGCAAACTGTATTTAATGCCTGAGCTTTTATCCTGAGCTTCTGTTGTAATTTTGAGACTTGAGAGAGAAGAGATTACTCTTTCCATCTTTCCAGTGTTAAGGAACCTTCTCTGCCTCTGCACTGTATCCACTTAAACAGCTGTAATAGATGTTAACTCTGGGCACTGTGAACAAATACACGAGTTAACTTAAGCAAGGGGCAGGAATGGGTTAGAGTGGTTTAAAAGCAATAGACAACAGCAAATGTGAAGATAGGAGGGGAAAGCTGAACAGCCAAGTTTATTACTACCTACTGATTTCAGTAACAGAATATGCTTATTAAAATGTGCTTTTCTGGTCTCTGCACAATGATAGATTTACTCCTCTTTTATTTGGGGAATGAAATTAATTCAATGGCATGTCAAGGAAGTCAGGGTTATATCAGTTCCTTACTATATGGGAATGTCTGCATTTTCTTAACATCTCTGCAAATAAAAAGGGAAATGGAGTCAGCTTGTGTATAAAACTGCAGTAATAGTTCCTCATTTTCCCACGTTTCAAATACGCAGCTAATGAGTTCTTCAGAATGATTGAGATGGCCATTGCCTTGTTAAAGTAGCAATAGTAATTTGACCCTACAGGTCAAAGGGCCTGGTACGATGCTTATGAGATTCAGTGGAAACTCATCCACACATTTCACTGGATTTCAGACAACCTAGTGAGGTTTTACACAGATATGCAGTTGAAGGAGGGAAAAGCTAAAATGCAGCTTGAATTGAGAAAAGCTTTGAAAATGTTATTTCTTGCAGCATGTGGTTAAATCCATTGTGATTCCTGATAAAAAACACTGGAAGCATAGAAGAAATGGTCTTCACTTGCCACCAGATACTCATGTTTATTTGTTTGCATGACATGTTAAAATAGATATTATAACATATAATGTTATATATTTCTACCTGAAACAAAATTTCATCAGAGAAGAAAGGAGGAGCCAGGTTTCATCTCCATATTCCTTCACTGAAAGTGTAAGAACGAAATGTAGTTGTGCAGCTTTCTCATTTTAGGATGGTACAATGATCAAGAGTATCCTCTTCAATCAGTTTTTCTTGAGAGATTAATAGTCTAAATAACATAGGAATACTGGTTATTTAGTTATCTGATTTTTACTTTTTTAAGGCATTTATTTTCCTTCCTTGTGTCCCACCTTCTTTCTTTCTTTCTGGACCTGAAGACTTTTGATTTCCCCTGCTTTTTGTTCACTCCTATCAGAGCCCTGCCCTACAAGTGTCTTTCTCTTACAGTGTCTCTTTCAGTAAATATGAGAATATCCTTTTCTGTTTGCTCCTCTGTATCCCTCTTTTGTCTGTTCGATACTTCCCCAGTGTCACTTTGACCTCAGGTCTTCTCATTGTTCTACAAAACTGAAGAACTGCTGCAGCAGTGCCAGATCCATCTGCTGCAGATGAGTCCTCTCTTCCACTACCTCCTCTCATGAGCAACCCTGCTCTTAAGCTGCAGAGGGACCCCCATGGACCAATAAGATCACTGTTTGAAGTGCAGGCTGGTTGCATGCCTGCCTCACAGGGAAGCCAGAATGCAGCTGAAAATGTAGAGGCTGAAGGGATCAAAACTCCTCAGGTTTAGAGGAGTTTTGGGTCAAATTCTGGACACTGAGACAAAAGTTGCATGCACAGCTAGGAAAACAGCTCTGTCATAACAAGCCTTATAAATAAAGACTGGTGAGTAAACTTGTAACTAAAGGGATCTTACCAGAGACTTGACAGAATTCCCATTTTTTTCACATACATTTTGGGTGATAAAGCATCTCTGCTGTACCTGCGTGGTGCCCTTTGCTCTGGTCTCTGGAGGGCCCTTTCTAGGACAGTTCCCTTACTAATATTCAGCCTCTTTTCAGCACCTCCTAGGATTGCTGTCCTACTTTTTACCAGGAATATTTTGAATGGATAGGCACTGTTTGCAAGCACTAATTAAACTTGTGCATATCCTAATGAGGCCTCCAGCAATGGAGAAGAGTAGAGTTGAGTGTCCGTGTTATCTGCTTTTATTTTTTTTTAATACGGCCTTTGTCAGACTCCCCCACCAAGCTGATTTCTAGTCCAGCCAGTATCACAGCTTTCCTTTCCCACTGGTTACCACCATGGTGTCTCTTATGTTGCATTAACAGGCTATTCTCTATATGTTATATGCAACTTCCTTCCTTTCCTCCAAGACAAAGACTACCAGTGAAAAAAATACTCCGCATCTGTCTTTTTTTTTTGGTACAGTTGCCACTAGGTGCCTATAAACAATATATCATCTCATGAACATTGCCCTCATCAGGCTGCTGATCTTATATTCTTGTTCAGGCAAATGGTGCGTGACCAGATGGTATCTTGTATTTTCAAACCTATTCATAATATTTAAATTGTTCTTAAAAGCCACATTGGGTAAAACCAAGGCCGCAATAGTACTGCCTTACATCTTTGAAAATGAAATCTGCTATGTGTAAATCTGGAATGGCTTTTCATAATTTGTTTTTGAAAATTCTGTTTCTAAGATTTACAAACTTTTTTGCAGCTTATAATAATAGCAATATGGGCAAATAAGTTCCTCTAATTCTTGTCCCTTCTCTCTCTTTCTTTCCTCTCCTGTCATTACATTCAGATGATAGACATGATGTACTTTGTCATCATCATGTTGGTGGTTCTGATGAGCTTTGGTGTTGCAAGACAGGCTATTCTGTTCCCCAATGAGGAGCCTTCATGGAAGCTGGCGAAAAACATTTTTTACATGCCTTACTGGATGATCTATGGGGAAGTGTTTGCAGACCAGATAGACCGTAAGCAAGTTTATGATTCTCATACTCCAAAGTCAGGTATCCAACTTTGATCAGAAGATGTCCTATTAAATCATGTGTGTGTGCTCAATAAATGGCTCAGGATAGAGGAACTCCTTCATCACAGAGAACGGTCACAAGAATATTTTTTCTGATAATATTTGGCTGTCAGTTTCACAACATGCTTCTGGCATCACTTCACAATTATTTAACCAGAAATCGATAATGCTAAATTATCTTGTATATAAAGTTTTAAATGGCTCCTTTTTACCAGTTGGGTGACAGGTATACCCTCCCAAGTATCCACCCTGAGTTCATTGGTACACCTGCAACATAAAAGGTCACTTCTGTTTTTATCATCCATTGGTTTTATTTTAGACCTAAATACTTTTTACCTAACTTCATACTGAGTATCAAGTCTAATAATACTGGGTTAAACCTTCGGCTCCTGCAGTTCATGAGGATCTAATCCAATGTGTTTTGTTTTCTCTGTTCCCTGCTCACTGTCACCACCTTTACACTAAACCATGTGATGCAATTCTTTGGGGACAGTAGATCCACTACTAGAATTTTGCTTTATTTAATTATTTGAAATGCAAGACTCTGCTCCCCTCAGTGCAAACAGAATGAAAGCCAGTATTTCATGTACTATCTCCTCAGGATTCATTTGGCTGGTGATCAGGAAAATGCCTGTTTTCTATTTAAATTAAACCTCCTAGTGACACCTGGTGCATTATGCCAAAGGAGAGAGATGGTCATGAGAAATTATGTGGTAGATGAGCAAACTAAGAATCACAACGTATCTTTAGCAAACACGGACATGAAACTGATGTTCATCACTCCTACTTAAATATCCAAAAGCTTTGGCATCATTTAGAAGTGAGTATTTTCCTCCAGTGGCAGAACGCATCCATTAAAGCTCTGTTTAGGATATTCCTTTTTATCCTATGTGTCACCTTCAGAAAGAGCAGTGTTTTCAGAATTCTGTTTCTTCACCAAATTTGAATGGAAAAAAGTTGTTGACTTTTCCTGAGGTGGTTAAGATAATACATGTATCTATATCACCAGTAATAACCCAAATTTAACAGAGTTACAGACAGACAGATATATACATATCACATGGAAAATATTTCACCAGTTCCATGTTCCTTTCTTCTTCTTGTTTAGCACAGAATCATTAGTGTGGATGCAGATGAAACCTCTTTTTTATGTTTACTTCCACACTTCATTTTCAGAGGCAGTATGACATGCAAGGAAGTAAATGAATATCCAAAGTCACAAAGCTTCCCACTAAGTTTAGCTTTTCACCCGATTCCTTCTGTTTTATCTTTTTTTCCTTTTTAAAAACTTGTTTCATTCCAAAGGCATAATAGCTGGGGATATAAAATTTATTCTTGCTCCTAAAGCATAATAACAGAATAAAGGTTTATACCAGTACACTATGACTTCCTTCCACAAGCAGAATTCTGTGTGTCCCTCTACTAGTGGCCATTTATTGATGTTGTACTAATTACCATAGTGCAACAAACATGGCAGCTGGATGAGTAAGAAGTTCTTGGTGTTTTTTTTAATGAAGTGCTGATTATAGTTTAGAACTCGGAAACCTCAGAAACTAGTGTCTTTGAATGACCATGATTTTAAGTACAAAAAGAGGGTGGCAGGCTCCATAACCTTGCATGAGTATTTAGGGTTAATCTTGGGTGTTACTCAGATGCCCAGCATTTAAATCTTACAAAAAGATGCAAGGTAATTACTTCTGAGGCTTAGGGAAAGCAAAATTGATTATGGTTTCAACTCCAGCTCTAAGCGTATATGTGTCATTGTTCTGTCTGAGTCAAAGAAACTACAGCAAAAGTAGTAATGCCAAAATGAAAAGCAGCACCTAGTTCCTCCTTCTTGAGATGCAGATGATACAGGGAATTAGAATATGCCACTCTTTCAGCACAAAACATGTGTGATATGTCATGTCTGTCAGGGGCTCAGTTGTCTCAAAAGTGTTACATCTGGAATAGACTGGGACCATAAGCAAATGGTTGGCGATCTTATTACACAATCAAAATTACCTGATTGGGAGACAAAAGGATTCACTAGTATACTTCTATTTTTTCACTAGTTGGACATTTATTGTTATATATATTGCTATTTCTTCTAGGCTGAATCAGCCATTGTATTCATGTTACAATACTACAGTGTTTGTACTTTCTCTAATAAGATAAACATTCTGAAGTTGTTATGCTACATCCAAACTACAATTGAACATTATACCTTGAAGCAGATTTTTTAATTACTATTATTTTAGAAAACCAAAAGGGTTTCTTTGTCTTTTTCTTTATATTTTGGTGTTTAATATTGAAATGTGATTTGCAAGTTTGAGATTCAGCAAAAGGTCTGATCTTAGAAGTTTGCATACATTTGAGCCACACTCCTGGAGATTATCTTACTGACTAAGAAATGTACAAAAAATTACGCTATTCTAAAATTTCTAACTCTTTTATTTTTTTCTTCTTTTTTTTCTGTTGATTTGTGAAGCATGCCATTAAGACTTATCAGATGCAATGTCTGGATCCATCTCATCAATTGGTAGCCTGTCCATTCAGTGGGTCTATTCTGATTTTTATCTTAACAAAATGCGTTAAAACACTAACTAAATGCCTCACTCTGAAGTAATGCATGCCATATTTAAATTTTTTACCCATAATTTCTGTATTTCATTTTTGAAATACAGATGTTAATCAGAGATTGCATTAGTGTCCTGCTGCCATGTGATCAACTTCAACTCAGAAGTGGGAACAGAATTATATTCTCACTTCTGGGAGTATAAATACACTATTCAGTGGTCTCATTTATTATCATGATATAAATAAATGCTAAATCCCTGCGAATTCCTAACTATCAACAAATTGTAATGCAGGAAAATAAAAAAATCAAATAGATAAATGAATGGAGGCAGAGTAAAATTTTAGGACTGTATTCAAATTTCCAGGTACATTCAACAAAAAGAGCAAAACCAGACTCAAAGTATGTCCTGATTCACAGCTCATCACAGCCACATTAGCTGTGGAAGGAAGGGGAATCTGGGTCAGGGAATTGGTGGTGTTATATGCAGCTTTCTCACATTTAGGCTGCCTTTCCTTATCCAGCTGAGACTTGTGCTGCCCGATGGAATCTGTGGGGCAGCAGCCAGCCAGCTGTTTAGCTTCTTTAGTCTGGAAGGAAATCCATGAACACCATAAAATCTCTCCCTCAGTTCACCTCACTAACTTTGTCACTATTGCTGGCAATTTTAGCCAAAAAAAAATTCACTACATAGTCGTCACATGCAAAGAACTTTCTCTTCACCTCACCAACCTATCTTCCCCTCCAGAATACTATGGATACAGAAATATATAAGAAATATTGAAAAGAGAAGGATTGTTCAGGGAATGAGTTTGCTTATTAAAAAACATAGATAGATTACATAAAGGGCAACTTGAGAAATGGCAGTCACCTGTAGAAAACGAGCAGCAGACCTCACATTTTCCTATATTCAGAAGGCAAAGCAATTAAGAGAGCTGTTAGCCAACATGTGGGTTGGGTTTTTTTTGTTTGTTTGTTTCTTGGACTGTTTGTCAGATTTGTTTGTCAGGTGTCTTACATGTCAGATTTTCATCTGGATTTTCTTTCCACCTGACAGTATTTCAAGTGCCATCTGGAATCTGAAGATCAATCTAAGTTATGTTCATTTGTTCGTTCCCTGGGCTTACTCTGTTGTTGGAAAAACCTATATAGTTTAATAGAAAAAGATGAGGTCTCCTTTTCTTAAACTTTAATTGGAGAAATGCCATGCCAAGTAACCATAATGCAGTTGTTTCCAAAGATGAGAGACAATTATACAAAAGCTTTAACTATCCAATTAATTTAGAAGGAAAGTATAACTATTACAAAACACTTTTAAAAAATGCTTTAGTCTGTTAAATTTATTTGTTTTTAAAGTTCTTGAATGTTTCTTAGTATAAATGAGAACTTGATACTAAATTCTATATGATCTTAGAGGTTTCATGTTTTTCATGTCTCCATATGACCTTCCTATGAGGGCTGTCATTTGCCTGGATCATTCTGGTATTAGAACAGAGTAGCTGTGCACAAAACAGAATAAATCGTAACTGTTTTTTTGCTTTTTTAATAAACTGTATTGCAGCTTTGCAGCACAGGCAATATTTTTAGGCAAAAGCAGAGAACCAAATTTGTGCATAGTCTACACACCACTTTAAAAGTCTGTCTGGCCTGAGCTGCAGTAGGATTTCCCTTCCTAGCACTCCTCTGAGGTTATATTTTGCCTTCAATTTGGATGGATATTTTTAATGGGGTGGGAGAGAGGAGGCAGAAAGCACTATCAAGAACTAGAAAATTACAGAGATTTACTATAAATTATTATTTAAATACCAGCAGATTGGAGAGACTCTTCAAAGTAATTTTTAATGTGGCTGAGGGCAAGAAGGAGCCTGTATGGTCACAGTGCTCTAGTTAAAGCAACTTTTTTAAAGTAGGCACTGTTCAATACTCTGGATGTTTCGGCTGATGAACAGGGTAATGGTATGAGATTCAGAGTTCCCAGAGTTTGGTATTTCCTCTGTCAGTGAAGACGTGGACAGCCCTAGGCAGCTCTTTTAGGCTTTTTTCAACATTCCCCAGCTTGGCAAGCTGGTAGGGTTTCTTAAACATTTGATTAAAAAAATATAAAATACTTTTGCATTCTTTGGGTTCAGTGCAGATCAAAACTGGAAGGTGCCTCTATACTTGTAAATTTTAAAATGTCCAGACTTGAGTGTAAAAAAAAGTTGGTTTGTTAGTTAATACACACTTATTAATTTTCTTATACTTTAGAATTGTGATACTAACCCATTCCACAGTTTCTTGTGATTTCAAACAAATCAACTTGTACTGTAAAACTGGTATCCATGTTTACATGAGAAGTAAGGCAAAAACCTATTTAGTAACTAAGCTGTTCAATTATGCACTTTCCATTATTTCCCACAACTGCTTTGGAAGAGTGCAGCTGGTAGAAGAGACATGACACAGAAATTTGCAAGCATTGTTTCCCAAGCCCTCCACCCAATGCACAGTAAAAATGAGCAGTGCTCATGTCATTACAGCAGTTACAGCAGGGAAACAAATTCTTGCCAAGCTCAACTGTTGCTTTAGGTCTGAAACACAGAGAGGTGTGGCATACTGCTATTTGCTTTGCAATTATTTGCTGGCCAGGAAAGAGGAAGGGTTAGGTATGTACCAGGAAAGGCCCATACAGGAAACCATCAACAGGAGCCCTAAAGGAAAAATAAGCATAGAAGGCGACTGTGAAAAAGGAAATAGGAGATGCAAAACATATTTACATTCACAGATGTCAGGTTGCAATATCTGAAAGCTGAGTAAAGGTAATGTGTATAATTGAAATTAAAACTCCAGCCATTTCTTATTTTCTAAATCGTCAGTTGAGGACTTACTGTTCAACTTTTATCCAATGGCCTGTTGGTATGAGACTAAATGGGTTTTTCAGTTTCCTGAAACAGGCATACAGTTATACCAACAGAATTTGCTTCTGCAAAACATTTCACTAGAATTAAGTACCCCATATATTTACTGTTAAAGCAAGGCTGTTATTTTAAAAGATTAGTATGTTTTCATACATGTTTAAATCACGTTTTGAAAAAGTTTGCTATCACAATATGGTACTGCACACTTAGTACAAAAATTACTGCATTTCTCCAAACATAATTAAAATGGTCAGGCAGTGTTGCACAGGAGACACAGGTGTAGATTCCACAGGGACAAGGCACAACACTCAGCAAGTGAAAGGTTTGGCTGTATGGAAGGCATGACATTACCACAGTGGGAGCGCCAGGAAAGCAGTGCTAATTAAATGGGGACCTGACACAGTAGAGCCCTGCCCAGGAGTGAAGCTCAAGGGAAAGCCCTGCAGAGGTGGATAATAAACCTTGCACTGATTAACATACTGTGGATACGCACCGTCCTGTTTTGCTCATCAGTGACCTCACTGATGAAATGCAGGTGCTGCCCAGATATGAGATCTGTGGCTGGTGCCTGTGAAGGGTTATGTGCAGATGGGAGGTAAGAGAACTACCCCAGCTTCCTGTAACATGGAGATAAGACGTGCTTGGGACTCTACATAGCTGGAGAGGGGAGGCAAACTGTCCTGGGTAACTGTAACAGAGTCATCTTGCACCCTACAAACAGAATTCTAATTTCTTAAATGTAAACAAGTAATTTAATTATCTAAAAATAACATCATTGCTACTTACAGCCTCCTGCCAGAGTCCTGTGTCCTTATTCATGGAGACAGAATTTTTTTTGTTTCCTGGAAGAAATTATTTTAGCCAAACAGTTTGTTTAATAGTAGAGAGAAAATCCATTAAAATTAAAGTTACAGTTTAAAAATGAAAGAAAGTGTTCAGGGATGTGCAGTACTAACTTAAATTATCTGCAAGGTAATGTTTTCTAGAGAATAAATAAAGCATACTCTCAACCTGTTCCCAGTAAGAACATGTCTTTCTGTAAGTAGGAAGGACTAGTGACACCACAGGTCTAGACAAAACAAAGCTGTTTGAAACAGCAGCATTGCTTGTACTTGGCTTTGAATATTTTGGAAAGATTTTGTTTGAAGCTGTATCATGTATTCTTCCATCCCAAATGGCTATAACATTTCTGTATGTAATAGCTTAACAGCCTGTGCGCCTCCAAAATCAAGTACCCAAATCACACGCAGTATCATATGATTGCCAGTACAGACATCCACAGGTGAATTCCATGCTCTGTGAATCAAGTTCAGAAGAACCTTTTTGAGAAGAAGCAATAGTTAGTATTGGAAATCATTAATTTCTTGACACAGGCTGGAATTTTACAAAACATACAGCACTGGCAAACATTGTCATCTGTGAAGTCAGTGGGAAACTCTCACTGATGTCAGCAGAAACTGGGTCAGTGCTGAGCACTTTGAGAATTCCTTACTTAAACTTTTTTTTTTTATGGGAATGAGGGGAAGTTAGCTGTAGTGTTGTGCAAAATGTACTGGTTGGTTTGTATATATAAGCTGCTTCAATTTTTTTCTTGAAGAGGTGATTACAGAGGTACTTGGGATCGCTAGGACTGAAGTTAGAAAGACATAAACTGAATCCATGCTTGCAAGTACAGATCACCCACCTTGAAGTGGATGATCACAGCACTTGAAGCCCTGTAAAAAAAAAAAAAAAAAAAAAGCAAGAAAAAATATTTCACAATGCTTTGTCTCCCCTTGCTTCAGCTCTGCAACACTAATACTATTTTGGTTCCAAAGCATTTGGGGAAGAAACAGGTGGCAACTCTGCTGCCTACATGTCCCTTTACCTGGTACAGTAAAGACTTGATAATCTCCCCCACTGTTTCTAGGCATATGGCCCAGAGCCCTTAATCGCAGAAGGTCATTATGCGTATGTCCCAGAGGAGCTCAGGGTAGTACAGTGAACAGCAATAAATGTCTGCTCTTTAATTTACTTTCATGTACTTCTTTTTCTTTATGTTATTTATCACATCCTTCTTCATCAATCAAAAGAGACCAAGCTTTCACCATTGAAAAAATAATACATATGCTTTTTTCCAGGATTAAATATTTTCATAATTTTATTTTCACAGCCAGTAATCACTACCAGAGTACCATAATTTTTTAGCTGTATGCAACCAGGCTGCTTACTTACAGCAAGCATGTCTCCTGCAATATGGAAGGGGAATATCTTGATATTCATGGCAAATAACACACTGTAAGAGGAACTGCAGCACGTAAAATCTGTGATAGCAAGTGCAAACTTCTTGAGGGGAACAACCAAACTGTTGTTTGGAAGATACTGCTTTGGCAGGCAGGCCTTTATAAATATTTAAATATTTCTGTAAAAAGCACTGAAAAAATAACAATCATTCCAATTTTGCTTTTTTTTGGTTGGTTGGTTTGTTTGTTTCACATTTTTGTTCCCAGCTCCTTGTGGTCAAAATGAAACCAGAGAAGATGGCAAAATAATCCAGCTACCTCCCTGTAAGACTGGAGCATGGATCGTTCCTGCCATCATGGCCTGTTACCTCTTGGTTGCAAACATCCTTTTGGTGAACCTTCTCATAGCTGTTTTCAAGTGAGTGACACATTGCAAAGTATGGACTCGGGAGGGAGGGACATTATTCACAGCCTAAGAGGTCTGCTAAGCTGAAGACTTTGGCTGAGACCCATTTTCAGAGGATGTGAATGTGAGAGGGAAATAGGCAGTAGATTGTCTCCAGGGAATGAGGGAAATACCAGGTTATTCACATTGTCTCATTTCCAAGGACAGACGCCCAATGAGAATCAGGGCAGATAAGCCAAAATATTTTAAGTTCAGTTATAGCATCATTCGCTTCAAATAAACACACTTTCCTGTTTCATTGAGCTGTTGTAAGACTCAGTGTAAGACAAAGTAGACATACACTATAGTGGCTGATTGCCACTGTGCTTTTTCAAAGCACAAACTAAATAATTTTTTTCTTCTTCTTCTTCCTCTTTTTGCTACAAGGAAACGTTTACCAGTGTTAGTGAAATGTGTCTAGTTAAGGTGGTGTCATATCATCTTTGGAAAAGTACCCAAAACTATTCCTGATGTTATTTTCCTCTTCTTCCCTTCTAGCAACACATTTTTTGAAGTCAAATCCATATCCAACCAAGTCTGGAAGTTTCAAAGATATCAGCTAATCATGACATTTCATGAAAGACCTGTACTCCCACCACCTCTGATCATTTTCAGCCATATGACTATGATATTCCAGCACCTCTGCTGCAGATGGCGGAAGCATGAAAGCGATCCAGATGAAAGAGACTACGGATTAAGTAAGCCTTACATAATTTACAGAGTGAAACTTTACAATGCCCTTCATAATATCCAGTGTTTGACATGAATAAAGGCTAAGTTCAGCACCTTGAGAACCTTTCCAGCAGAGAACAACTTTTAACTGTAAAAATCTTACCTGAATGTGTTATTTTTACCTGCATTGCTCAAACCTCAGTTTCCTTAGAGCATTAATGAGGCTCTGTTTTTCTGGGATTTTTGTTGTTCCCCCCTTCAAACCAAAGGGGTTGTGTTGCTGTTGCTAGAGGTCTGTTATTGCTGAAATTCCTCTTACAGTCCATCGCACTTCCAGATCTCAGTTTTATTTCTGAAAATGCAGAGAGAATATTCCTACTTTTTGAGCAAACAGTACATACTTCCCCCCAACACACTTTTTCCCTAGATAAGCTGAGAGATGGTGAGAAGTAATTATTTTGTAGACACATGTTCTCTCCTTTACACTGACTCAAACTGGAGGAGTAGTTTCTCTCGATGCTTCAATATGAACTCCCATATACATGATGGAAAACCTGTCAGATTATTTTGATAACACTTTCTCTCATCCTCTCTATCAAGCTCTTCAAAGAAAAAGATCTCCACCTCCCCCAGTGTATATGCAAGAAACAGGGAGCTAAGGGATGTGCATCTTTTCCCAACATTAGCCCATGTCACAGCCCCCTCCCTCTATGAGAAGGGAGCTGAAGCCATGTAGTGATACTGGAGATGCAAGTGCAACCAGACTGCTCTCCTCCCAGTCACATCACACTGTCTGCCACAGCTCTTGCTGCTGCCTGCAGATGGGCTCTTGCCATGTCAGACAGCCCCTCTGTACTCTCAGACTCCTTTCTTAGCAGTCTGCTAATTAGATTATATTTCTATTAGGTTACAGGTGGGCTTTGGCTCCCACTGTCTCTTCAGGACCTGACCAGCACCTGTGTTTAGATCACATATAGTCAAAACACATTCACATTTGTTCAGCATTTGCCTGGTTATGTGTGTCTGTCTCCAGAATCATATATAATTGAAGCCACTAATTTGGCAATTGGCTGGATATATCTGCTTTCATATCAAAATGCCAGATAAATGTGAAGCCTGCTTTTGAAAGTTTAGTCCATGAATTCCACAACAAGAAGAATGTGGTTAATTTAATGTGTTAATCTTTGCCAAATCCACATTTCTCTGTTGTTTCCACAGAACTTTTCATAACCGAGGATGAACTGAAGAAGGTCCATGACTTTGAAGAGCAGTGCATAGAAGAATATTTTAGAGAAAAGGATGACAGATTCAACTCCTCCAATGATGAAAGAATCCGTGTCACTTCAGAAAGGTGCACTTTTTTGTTTTTCTCTCACAAGTTGATTTGGAAATGTGTTTCTGTTGCCATTTTGACCCTTCCTTTCTTTTTCTTGAAAATATAAATATTTGATGCATTTTTAAATGTCTTAAATAAAAAGTAGAGTGATAAAAGATGGTAAATTTATTTTCCCTTTTTTTTTCTTTTTTTGCTAAAGAAAATGTTCCTCAAAGTTTTGAAAACATAAATCTTTTAGCCAATTGTATTAGAACACAAGTGATGTAGTGAGAAACATAGATTATTCTTGCATTTCAGGCATAAGTGGTCAGAACACAATGGGAGAGTAAATGAGAGTCCGTCAACGAAAACTACAGCTTTAGCACTGACCTGCTAGCCATTCACATAGAGTAAGCCTTGTTTCAGGATGGCCTTGCTAGGTAAGCTAGTTTCATTGAGAGCAACAGGGATCTTGCCAGTAATTTAAAAGCAGCTAGTAATTTCATCTACAGCAATAAAACACACAGAGGACAAAGGTAATACATTAATTTAGTGGAAGTTGCCAGTCTGCAAATGCATCAGACCTAAAAATTCATAAATCTGTCCATCTGCTGTATGCAGCTTATATGCTTTCATCACACAGCAGTTGAACAACAGAGTAAAATTTTGAGGACAGAGTTTGTTTTTTTATTCATAGCACTGTAACCAATAAATATTTTTGTGCAATATCCTGTCAGATATTCATAAAACTTATGAACAACTGAATACTCCATTCCCTGAATACTCTGCTTTAACTTGACTAACAGAGGTCAGATGAGTTGTCATTGTCATCAATTACACAAATATAACACTCTTCCCCTTATAAATCATCTAGCATTGCCCCTGATGGAGCTATGCCTAAAATACATTTTCTGGCAACGAAACATGCTTTTAATTTTATTTGAAATAAATCTATCCCAGAGCAGGATTAGCAGATACAGGCTGGATCTATGGGCCGAGGCCAATTGTATGAGGTTCAGCAAGGCCAAATGCCAGGTCCTGCATTTCAGTCACAACACCCTGTGACAAGGCTACAGGCCTGGGGAAGAGTGGCTGGAAAGCTGCCCAGCAGAGAGGGACCTGCGGGTGTTGGTTGGCAGCTGGCTGAACATGAGCCAGAAGTGTGCCCAGGTGGCCAAGCAGGACAACAACATCCTGGCCTGGCCTGCATCAGGAATAGTGTGGCCAGAAGGAGTAAGGAAGTGATAAGTCCACCTGCACTTGGCACTGGTGAGGCCACACCTCAAGAACTCTGTTCAGTTCTGGGCCCCTCACTGCAAGAAGGACATTGAGGTGATAGAGCAAGTCCAGAGAAGGGCAACAAAGCTGGTGAAGGGTCTGGAGAACAAGTCAAACAAGGAGCAGCTGAGCAAACTAGAGTTGTTTAGTCTGAAGAAAAGGAGGGCTGAGGGGAGACTTCATCACCCTCTACAACTAACTGAAAGGAGGTTGTAGTGAGTGTTGGCCTCTCCTTCCAAGTGAATAATGACAGGATGAGAGGAAATGGCCTGAAGTTGCAGCAAGGGAGGGTTTAGATTGGATATTCAGAAGAGTTTCTCTACTGAAAGTTGTTGGACAGTGGAACAGGTTGCCCAAAGAGGTGGTTGAGTCACCATCCTCGGAGGTATTCAAAAGCCATGTAGATTTGATACTTCAGGACATGGTCTAGTGGCCAAGGTTGTGAGGTGGTTTTTTTGTGTTGACAGTTGGACTCAGTGATCTTATAGGTCCTATCCAACTATGGTGATTCTGTAATCTTCTTTAATCATCTGCATTGCTGGAAACAGCACTCCTAAAATAAATATTATAGAAAAGGACATTTGACAGGAAGCATTGTCAGGTGTGAAATAGTGTCCTCTTAAAGAATGGCCAAGTAATCCAACTCTACTTCATCTTGAAAAGACAGAAGAGAAATTGAGAGAGGTCTATATAATTATGAGTGCAAGGACATCATGAGTAGCAATCAATTGTTTGCTGTCTCTCCCAGAACAAGAAATAGGATTGCTAGATTGTTCCATTAACCTAGCAGGAGTCCAGGTTCAAAATAGGTTGTTTTTCCATGCAATAAGTAGTGGAACAGAGCAAATCAGATTATGAGAAAATATAAAAGAAGCTGATGATATCAGCTAAAAGTCAAATATAGACAAGCATATGGATGAGAAATCCAGTAAGGACTGCTAAATACATAGAGATCATATTGCACTCATGAAGTTCCAGAGCCGAAAATGTTTAGAGACTGGATAATAATAGGATATGTTATGGTAAGATACGATGTAATGTAATGTAATATGACATGACATGACATTATATGATATGGGAAGTATTAATTATGCTTCAAAGTGAGATGGTGGGATAAATTGACCAGTGGTCCAACTTGTGGACTTAATTCTAGAATTAATATAAGAGGTCTAATTCTGAAAAGAGTGCCTTAGTCCCACTAAATCATTACTTCAATTAATTTATTGATGGACTGATGTGCAAAGGTTAAAAATAAATAGGACCAAAATGAATGCCAGCAAAAGCCATCATCTCCCAAACAAAAATTTAAAAGGCTTATTGTAAGTAATATAAAATCTTTGCCAGGTCCCCAGTTCAGATTTTTTTTTTTTTTCCTGGTTACTGATTATTATCTTCAAATAATCCGTGTTTGTTTCACTTTTAGAAATTTTTTAGCTTCAGCAGAAGATACTTGATGCATATTTTACATGTAGCCTCCTCCTTTTATGTTCTCATACTCTTCTGCTAGGGTGGCTTGGCATCATCTAGTATCTTAGATATTTCTCGCTGTAAGAAAAACCATGGATGCAATGGAGGCATCATATATGGATATTCTAAAATTTGCCAGAAGGTTTATACTAGCTCAAATACACATGGAAAAAAATCCAAAGGAAAACTTGGGTATTCTTATTTTGAAATTGTGTTCTAATTCAAAATTGTTCTTAAATAAAATACAACTCTAGCTGTCTATTCACTGAGTGCAAGTTTATGCAAAAATATGGAAAATAGAAATTTTCACTTATTAAGCCCTTTTCCAGACCAGATTATGTACACATCTCAGGTTACTCCTGGTTTCAGAACCCAGACTGCGGTGTCCTTATCTTGCTGAGTTTCTATATAAATGTCCTACTACTATCAATGCAGTCTCATCTGTGATTACTTCCGTAGCAACCAACAGACCATGTAATTCAAAAGTCTTTCTTCATCTTGGCCAGATATACACTCTTGCATGCTGTGCCTCTGGCAGTAGCTAACAAATTGTGTTCAGGGAAGGCATGACAAATATAGGAACATGTATCAGCAAAGTATGACTCTAGGTTCTTCCTGGGATGCATTAGTTTTGTTCAGCAGCACTGCATAGCCCTCATGAGAATGCAGCATGTAAAACTTATCTCAGTGTGGAAAGTTCTACTCATATTCCAGATACAAATATGTAGCCAAGTGCAATAATTCAACTGGCTGTGTTTGTATTTAAAATTATTTCACTTGTATACGTCTCTCAAAGCAAGGGGAAAACAACAACAACAACAAACCAACCTCAAGACTATAATAGAATCACAGAACACCATGTTGGAAGGGACCTCAAGGATCGCTCTTTCCAACTTTTCTGGGTACTACTATAGTTTACATAAGAAGGCTCAGCACCCTGTGCGATGTGGGGGAATCTGCCACTTCCCTTGGGAGACTCTTCCAATGTTTCATTGGTTATGGTTGGTAGATTCAGGTTATAGTTGGACTTGATGATCTTCAGAGTCTTTTACAACCAGGATGATTCTGTGATTCTGCGAGTAAAATCCAAGAGGTTTCTGAAATTGTTCCATGTGCCTGGCAGCCCTAACGTTGTGAGGTTATATCTGTTCCTCATCTTGGAGCAATTGTTACTGAATCCATATGTGTGATGAGGCACTCAAGTATTAGCTGATAAATATTTTTAGATTACAATTTACTTATTTTTTATTCAATAGCAGTTCAGATAATTAACAACATGAGGGAAAATTCAACTGCTTCCCATGCTGACTTACGATGCAATTTTATCCTGTTTGCAAGAACATTAATCTGTTTTGTTGGAGAATTTGGTAGAACTAGAGGTAGACTGGTTACCTAAATGAGTAGCATGAGATTCTTTCAAACTACGAGTTAATTTCTTAGTAGTGATTGCTTGATTATTTATCTGTTGAAGATGGATTATAGCTATACAGTTTCCCATTTGGTTTCTGTGCTTGTGCTTTCAAAACTCATGATCTTCAACAGAAAAAGCCCATCTTTCACAGGAATGTGAGACTTGATGGAAGGACTGGTGTCACATTCCTCCCTCTGCTCTCTTATGCAGGAGAATTGCTGTTGCTCATCACCACGAGATAGTCACACCAGTCTCACCAGCTAAAGTTCTGTGCATTAATTAACAAGGCACTCATGCTGCCTAATACTCATTCATTGCTGAAATCTGGTTTCCTTCCAGGTCAGTAAGAGCATTTATGGTGTTGCCAGTGCCAGGTCACTCATCCTGTTAAAAATTCAGCCAGCAATAGTAGAAGATTATATTTGTCTCACCAGAAATCCTGGCTATGATTGACAGGCCACCTATAAACACAGAGTACAAGTTACACTAACAGGCAGAGAGTAAGAGACTTGTGAGGAAGAAAGCAGAAAATAGGGATTTGTTGCTTCTCTGTTTATTTTTTAGTGTTTACACGAATGGGGTAAACCAGAATTATACTTTTAAAAATCAGACAAAGATAACTCTATAAATGTGTTGCTTCTGATACTTCTTTGGCATATAATGGTGTTCCCTGGTCTACCCTATAGACTGCAACCAGAGAAAATAGTTATGAGAAGAAATTCATATGTGCTAAAGGCAATTTAATTGTGTAAAATTAGAGGACTCCGTATAAATTCTCCAGTGGAGATATTGTAGAATCCGGAAAATTGAAATGGTTACTGGCATAAATTATTACACAACACACCTTAAAGTTGAAAACATTTTAAAATGAGACAGATCAACAGTGTATAAAAGATATAATGAAGTTTATATTAGGAACACGTATTCAATTATAACTATTAATACTTTAATTGTTTATTTATTTATTATGATAAATAGCTAATAAATCAATCAATTTCAATCCCTGAATTATTAACACAGACTACCTAAAACACAATCACAGTGGTGAAGCAATCTAAGTGTGTGTACCCTGTTGTAGGCTGTATGTGGTTTGATCAGCATTCTCTTCTTTTTACACTTCTAATGCATACTTGGTATTACCTACATTCAAGATAGTAGCTGATGCATTTTTTTCCCCCTATATATCTGAGCTAAAAAATAATCAGATAACAAAGAAACTACATCTTTAGGTTCACATGGCATTAGCTGGTGTAAATCTGGGGTCAATGCCAATGTGACACTCACCCACAAGAAGGGCCGGAAGGAGGATCTGGGAAACTATAGGTCTGTCAGCCTGACCTCAGTGCCTGGCAAGGTTATGGAGCAGATAATCCTGAGACCCATCAAATGGCATGTACAAGGCCATCAGGGAATCAGGCCCAGCCAACATGGGTTTAGGAAAGCAAGGTCCTGCCTAACTAATCATGAGGGGAAGGCTGTGGATGTGGTCTACGTAGACTTCAGCAAAGCCTTTGACACAGTCTCCCACAGCAACCTCCTGGAAAAGCTGACAGCCCATGGCTTAGACGGGTGCACCCTTTGCTGGGTTAAAAACTGACTGGATGACCAGACCCAGAGAGTGGTGGTGAATGGTGCTGCATCCAGTTGGCATCTGGTCACCAGTGGTGTCCTCCATGGATCAGCACTGGGCCCAGTTCCATTCAACATCTTACTGATGACCTGGTTGAGGGCATCAAGTCTACCCTTAGTACATTTGCAGGTGACACCGAGTCGGGGGAAAGTGTCAATCTGCTTGAGGGTAGAAAGATGCTGCAGAGGGACCTGAACAGGCTGGGCTGATGGGATGAGGATCAACAAGACCAAGTCTCGGGTCCTGCACTTTGGCCACAATAACCTCAGGCAGTTCTACAGGCTGGGGGAAGAGTGGCTGGAGAGCAGCCCAGCAGAGGGACCTGGGAGTACTGGTTGACAGCAAGTTGAACATGAGCCAGCAGTGTGCCCAGGTGGCCAAGAAGGCCAATGGCATTCTGGCTTGTATCAGGAATAGTGTGGCCAGCAGGAGCAGGGATGCAGTTCTCTCCCTGCATGCAGCACTGGTGAGGCCTCATCTCGAGTTCTGTGTGCATTTCTGGGCCCCTCACTTCAAGAAGGGTATTGAGGTGCTGGAGCAGGTCCAGAGGAGAGCAACGAGGCTGGTGAAAGGACTAGAGGGAAAGTCTTACAGGGAGCTGGAGTTGTTTAGTCTGGAGAAAAGGAGACTCTGGGGGGACCTGAAGTGAGGTTGTAGTCAGGTGGGAGTCAGGATCTTCTCCGAGGCAACTAGTGACAGAATGAGAGGGCATGGCCTGAGACTGCACCAAGGGAGTTTTAGGTTGGATATTAGGAAGCACTTCATCATGGAAAGGGTGATCAGACATTGGAACGGAATGCCCTTTTGGTGACCTCTTAGATGATCACTACTGCTTTGTAAAACTAACCTGTTTAATACTTCCCTTTTTTAAGGGTAGAGAACATGGCCATGCGACTGGAAGAAGTAAATGAGCGAGAGCACTGCATGAAGGCCTCTCTGCAGACAGTTGACATCAGGCTTGCTCAGCTGGAAGATATGATGGGACGAATGGTGACTGCCTTAGAAAAACTGACTGGCATAGACAGAGGTGAGACAACCAAGATACGATCCAGGACGTCCTCCGACTGTACTGATGCAGCCTACATTGTAAGGCAGAGTAGCTTCAATAGTCAGGAAGGAAATACTTACAAGCTGCAAGAGAGCATAGATCCCACGGGAGAGGAGTCCATGTCCCCAACATCTCCTACAATCACACCCCGCATGCGAAGCCACTCTTTCTATGCAACAAGTATGAAGGACAAGTGTGGCTTGGAAAAGTTTGAAAGCATTTTTAAGGAAAGATCTCCAAGCCTGCATCGGGCTACCAGTTCCCACTCAATAGCAAAAGAAGGAAAGGTTCCTTTAGCCCCTACCAGCACTTTGTCAATTGCCCCAGACTCCAGGAGGCCTTCGTCTTGTATAGATATCTATGTTTCTGCCATGGATGAGATGCATTCTGACACAGAGCCTCTTGACAGCTCCATAAATATTCTTGGTACTGGAGATGCAGCTCTGCATGCTCACATAGCCTCTTCCATTTTAGCTAACAGTGCGTATATTACCAGTACATCTCGTGAAAAAATTTCTGGCCACAGTCTTGATTATGAGGAGACCTCTGGAATAGAAACAAGAGCATTTTCTTCAGACTATTCACAAATCACAGACTGCCAGATCCCCTGGGATTCAGACCCTCCCTTGTATCACACTTTAGAGCGATCTAAAAGCAGTCGTTATCTGGCTACAACTCCATTTATTCTGGAGGAAACTCCAATTGTGAAATCTCACAGTTTTATGTTCTCTCCATCTCGAAGCTATTTCAGCAGCCTTGGTGTCCCAGTCAAAACAGCAGAGTACACAAGTATTACAGACTGCATAGATACAAGGTGTGTGAGTGCTCCCCAGGCAATCGCAGAGAGGGCCAGTTTCCCTGGAAGTCTTGGCGGCAAAGTAGAGGACTTGGGATGCTGCCACCCAGAGAGAGAAGCTGAACTAAGCCACCCGAGCTCTGACCATGAGGATACTGAGGCCAAAGACAAGAAGGGAATCCCCTTACCTCCTCCTCCTCAAGACAGCAATGCTGCAAGAACTCTGGCCAATAGTATCCCACTTCCAAAAATAGAGCGGGCCAACAGCTACTCTGCAGAGGAGTCGAACACATGCGCACAGCACGCGCGGAAGAGTTACTCTATCAGTGACAAACTCGACAGGCAGCGAAATGCAACGGGCCTGCGAAACCCCTTCCAAAGGAGCAAGTCATCAAGGCCAGAGAGCAGAGGGGATAACCTGTCCATGAGGAGACTGTCAAGAACAGGAGCTTTTCGCAGCTTTGAAAGCAAGCACAGCTAAGCCTAGACAAAGCTCACCAGCAGTCTAAAGGTCACCTGCTCTTCAGCCCACTCTTCTTAACAGAATAAATAAATAAAATTTAAAAACCCCCAAAAAACCCACCACAACTCACATCACCCTGTGTCAACTCCAGCTGGCATTAGCCACCAGTCAAAGGAGCACACTGCCAGACTCAGCATCTGCCCCTGAGTTACTTTATCTTGACCCAGTTGACATTTGTACTTGAGGAAAAAGGGAGGGTTGAAAGCTTTACAAAGACTTCAGTAAATAACAGGAATAACAAGCCTCCTTTATGAAGCCACAAGAAATAATTTAGTAGGTTCAGAAATCTGCCTTTTATTAGAAGGCATCCTCAGATCTTTGATCATTATTCAAGTTTTTAGGATGCAGGAATTAACTGGCAAAAAGAGATATACAAATTAGATGTTCTTAACTTCCATCTCAACTTCTGTTTCATCTGTTTCACTGCTGTGATGACTGATGAAAAGCATTTGTTATTTCTGTAGGAACTGGCAGCAAACAAACCTAGAGTCTCCCAAATCTCTTGCATCCCACTCTTGGGGAAATGAAGAAAGATGAAAAAGATAACAACCGTAACACTAGCTTGTCTCTTTTTGTGTCAGCTTCCAGTGCCACAAAAAGTTTATACTTTCAAGAGCAGAAAGAGTAATGAAATGCCTTTTGTACTGCAACTTAAATGGAGGAAGAATCAATGTTAAAATACCATTTGGTTTCCTGTACAAAACAAGCATTCTATATTCTAGCACAACTGAGCGAGCTCAGGACTCGAGCTGCCAATTGGTCACATCATTCCCTCACCTAAAAATATACAACTTCTTTTCCGTCACAGATGTTCATATTTGGCATAAGTTTGTTTTTCATGCTTAACTTATTTATGTTGTCTTTCATTTCCTATAGATGTCCAGTGAATTCATTTTCTTCTATCTCCAGCTGAAGTGCTCCACGTTAGTGAAGAACTCTGGCAGAGAAAATTTTCAGAACTTGACATCCAAATCTTCAGGTTCAGTATTTCTTTAGAATTCACTAATGTGCTAATTCTCAGGCAGGATCAGTGCTACAAAACCACCCCATTCCCTCTCCAAACAAGAAGTGGTTATCTCAAAAAGGCACCAAGCATGAAAACCTGGAGAGCTAGTAAGGATTTTACGAGGAATTTTCTTAGCTCTTTATTAAGAACTTTTTCCATGAATATGGACTCAATGTGCAAATACAGGATTTTCCAGTAGAGGGAGTCTATGTTGTTACAAAAAGAGAACGTCCCACTGTTAATAAAAGTACACCAAGAAAGAAGAATATTTTCTCTTTTTTTTTTTTTTTTTTCCATGAGGGCATGGCTGCATTTGAACATTTCAAAGTATACAAGATTTATCAAGCAGTCTGAAGCCAAATTAATACAGTTAGACAGAAATTGCTTAAAGGAAAATGCTCTTGAGAGAGAACTGGAAAACACTAAAAAGTATGTATGTGTTTCCAGTAAGTTAAAGAACCAAAGCAAAACTGAAGGTGTCTGTAAACAGCAAAAGCCATCAGTTCCCACTAGGCTTCCACCGTTCAGCAGAGTATCATACAATGTACATTTTAGTAAGAGAAAGTATATCTGAACGGTAATGCAGTTACAGGTTTGGTTGAAAACAGTCATAACCCCACTGAGCCTGTCCGCATTCCAAGGGGATACAACATTAACCAGAGTCTCAGACTTCTCATGAGAAGATACCATGGTGGTCACAGATGAAAGAGTATGCAGAAGACAGAAAAAGCATGGAGAAGCATGAACTGCCACTGGATCAATATTTCGCATCCTGTATGAAGGCACAACTTTTAAGCTTGTAAAGAGTTGAAGCTAGTGCCATTAATAATTAAAATATCTCTACAATGACCAACATATGTGCAGAACCAGCTCCTTTTTATTATTAAAAATGAACACATGTGAGTGGGGTATATACTTTCAATTTCTTAAATGGGACTTACCTTCAAAATCTCTAAGGCAGCTTTGAAAATGCAGGCTGACATTTCCTCACTGGGATCTCAGCCTGGGAGACTCTCAGCGCCATATGACAGCTAAGTCTGAAAGACCACAAATCTAGACATAAAAATAATTATCAGCCTCAAGAAAAGAGGCAAAGAAGGTGATAACATTTAGGTACCAAGTCACAATGTTGTAAAGTTCAGGAAAAAGAAATGCAGCTTGGGGACTTTAAGCACAATGTGTTTCATACTTCCTGCACCGTGTTCCTTGCTTTCTTCTATTTGATCAGGCTTTCAGTGAGCTAAACTCCACCAAGACACCATATTTATGCAATTGCCTTGCAGCCCATGTGCAGCATTATGGCCACATGGCAACACCAAGAAAGGTCAGAAACCCTTTCTGTGCATTATGAAGCATGCTTGTGACTGATTGTTGAACAATAGCAAAATGCCCAGGGGCAAAGGAACTTGTGTTTAACAATCTGCTTCAAATGTGCCAACTTTTGTTAGTAGCCTTTTCCTAAGGTTTCTCCAAATCTATCAATCCTTGGTGAGTAGAGGGGGATATTCTCACTTCTTTTTTTATTTGTTACTTTTACGAATGTCTGCTAAAACTGTTCATGGACTCTTCTACCTTCACCATATTGCTGGCCTGCTCTAGAGGCACTTCAGATTCATTAGAAATTCCTCAACATCTCTTAGTGAATCACTTCAAGGCATAGGGCTCTTCTCTGGGGTAGATTTCATTGCTTAGGTTGTCAGGGTAAAGGAATTTGCCAAACCCAGCAGCTGTATAAATGTTTAAGATACAGCACTTTATTAATCTGGAGCACACATTCCAGGTAAATTTAAACAGGACACTTTATTTACCTCTTAAAAATTGCCATTATATATAAAATGTAAATTCAGATGTTAAAAGTGTGATTGGAAGATGTCAGTACACTACTTTTCATGAATGTTTCCCATTTATTCTACAATTTGGTATCTATAGAATATATTATTATAGATATTAGATTATTTTATCTTCACCTGTTTTTTTATATATTGCATCAAACTGCTCCTTTTTTAATTTGATGGTGAAACACCCATTCTTTGTAATGGGACCAGATTTCTCATTCTGAATATTATTATGACCATTTAGTGAGAGTAGAAGTCTTATCATCCATCATCATGTAGCTATAGCATGTGCCATATGACATAGTCTGGATCAAAGGATAGCATATGAAGTAGATATATATACACACATATATACATAGCTCCCCTATATAACCAGTATAGTTGTGACATGTGGTAATATTAGTGAACGTTACAGGACAGTTTTAATATCACTTTATAAGGTCTTGTTTGTAAGTCTGTAACATTCAATAAAATAACACATGTTGCATCAAGCATTTAGTTCCACTATCCAGTTATTAGCTTACATATGGAATGTGCATTGCTGGTCACAGTGTGTGAGTTTGGTATATTTCACACATTTCTCTGTATAGCTTCACTTAATTGTCTGTATGAGCTGATATATAAACCTCTAATGAGCCACTGTGGGCTGTGACAGATGAGTTGTGGTAGTGTGAAAGATGAACTGGCATGTTATGCAAAAGATTCTAAGATAAATGAACTTTAATAATATTTTGAAACTAAACTGAACTTAGCTGTTTGTTTACATATGCTGGCCGACTGAGGAAGCGGTGTACAGTGTTTTATAAATATTTTCCTAGAGTAATTTGTTCTGTTGTTTCCAGTTTAAGTGATGCTACTCTACAGTTGGGGTAAACACTTGTCCTAGGTATTGGATTATAGCACATTATACTTTCACAATAACAGTGTGATATGACTGAAGTAGTTTCTCTTCCTTACAGTCCAGTCTCTTTTTGTGTCAATGAAAATGCATGCATTGTTCCATGAGTTTATTTGGGCTACTATGAAACTTAACATTTTGCTATTGCCTGCCTGTAAAGATGAATCCAGTTAGGAATTAATTCAAGCTTTTGGATGTTTACATGATTTCCATTATGTTTGATCTTTAGCAAAGTGAGTGATTTTTTATTATTTTTAAATGACAATTGTATTTTATGGAATTGAAACATTCAACACAAAATGCGAACCTACAGCAGTGCTCAGACATTTGGCTCTCTCTTTTTTTGGAAGAGATAAGGTGCTACATTATTGTTCTTAGCACAAGTGCCAGTTAACAAATGGCAGTGAGGGGATAATTTGAAATTATAATTAAAAACCAAAACATCCATTCATCCACATAAGGAAATCCATCCGGGTTCCAGATACACATTGCTTTTTTCGTTCTTTTTTTTCTTTCTTTCTTTTTTTTGTTTTTTTTTTTTTTTCTTCATTGTCCATTTATAGATCTTTTGGTAAAAAACTGATTTGTACCTTTTGTGGAATGGATAGCCTTTTGTCAGGGGATAAATATCATAGTTAAGTATATTTTTTGTATGAGAAGAAAACCATGTTTCTTGGAAACTGTCAGTGCATGGAAAATGCAACTACACAAATAACTGCTCAAAAAAGTGCTGGTAGCAGCACACAGCCTTAGTCCAATGACTGCAGTCGGAGCAAACTAGTATCTGTCCTGAGAGCAGGAGTTAGATGAGGTACCTTTGATAAAGTATTAGCTTACAGTGAGCCAGTGAAACAAAATTCTTTGTAAAGTCATGGTGCAAATTTTGAAACAAGCATAAATGTCTTGTTATGTTGCTCAGGTTATAAACTTACAAGGATCTGATAATCACCAGAAGGGAAAATGTGAGCTGGTCATGCCTGGATTTCTCTAGGAATACTTAAGTAGTTGCAATGTCTCTCCCCTGCTTAAAAATAATAGTCTATTTGCAGTTTTGCACAAATATGCACAATTTTTTTCAACAAAGGCCACATATTCAGTTCTGTTAAAATATACCAGGTATAGATCATCTTCTTCAAAAGAAAAGGGAATACTTCTTCATATTAATTTTCCCTTATCCACCTCAAAGAACACCACAATCCAAACTGGGCAGAATCAGTCT